GGGAGATGATGATGATGATGTTGATGATGATGATGATGATGATGATGATGATGATGATGATGATGATGATGATGATGATGATGATGATGATGATGATGATGATGATGATGATGATGATGATGATGATGATGATGATGATGATGATGATGATGATGATGATGATGATGATGATGATGATGATGATGATGATGCTGATGCTGGATGATGATGATGATGATGATGATGATGATGATGATGATGATGATGATGATGATGATGATGATGATGATGATGATGATGATGATGATGATATGATGATGATGATGATGATGATGATGATGATGATGATGATGATGATGATGATGATGATGATGATGATGATGTGATGATGATGATGATGATGATGATGATGATGATGATGATGATGATGATGATGATGATGATGATGATGATGATGATGATGATGATGATGATGATGATGATGATGATGGATGATGATGATGAGAGGAGGAGGAGGAGGAGGAGGGAGGAGGAGGAGGAGGAGTAGTACGAGAAGTAGGAGGAGGAGGAGGAGGACGAGGAGGAGGAGGAGGAGGACGAGGAGGAGGAGGAGGAGGAGGAGGAGGAGGAGGAGGAGGAGGAGGAGGAGGAGGAGGAGGAGGAGCTTTCCAAGAGCTTTCCTAATCTGACAGGTTCAGAGCCGCAGGAGGACTTCAACGAGGCCTCAAGCAGGGCCTGGGTGGGCAGGCCCCCCTCTCCAGGCCTGCAGGGCCCCGCAAGGCGGGCAAGTCAGGCCCAGGGTGGGGAGCGCGCCAACTTGGCACCTCGGCCGCCCTATCTGAGAGGGCGGCCGTTCGTCACGCGTGATCAGGCTCCCATCCTTGACGGGGTTTGCCCGTCCTGGCACTGACACTTCTCCGCGAGGCCTCTAAGGTGGCCCCTACCCAAGAGAGTTCTGCACCCGCACGTCGAACAAACCCAGTAGGGCTCATAAAGCACGAGGGTGTGGGACGGGTGGCCGAGCGAGCCTAGTACCCGCCGCAATATGCTGCGGCTGGGGCTGCTCTCTGGGGGGGCAAGGCACTCGGAGGTCAACCAACTATTCAAATACTTCTTATTCGAAAGTTTATTGGCAGAGCTTTGACAACATGAGCAATACCACCGAGGCTTTAAATCGATAAGCTGGTGGTTAGAGACTACTTGGGCCTGGGCCCGGGCGTAAGGTCTATATCTTTTCTGGGCACGTCTGACCTGCCTCGCCAAGGAGCCCTAAGCTTCATTATCAAACGCATTCAAGGTTGCTCTCAACATCCCATTTCTAATCCTATACCCTGTGGCGACGACCCATTTATATCAACTCAATCTAGCTGCTGGGATGGCATGGTCACTGGCTGCTTTTTCCTGCAAACTCATCTGCAACTGCGTTCCCGTTCCACGCTGCTACAGGCACGCCTCTGGCCTGGGCCTCCTCCCAGGGCTGGTGGCTGTGCATGAAGAATACCTGCACGTCCACCTCGCCTCTGTCGGCAAGGGCTGCCGAGATCTGCTCCCACAAATCGCCGAGCACACTCCATCCTCCTGGCTGTCGGTGTCGGCCTCGCCGCCAGCCCTTGTAGAGAACCTCCGAGTCCGTCCAGCAGTGCATCGGGCCTTGCGTATGCCGCAGGGCCGACAGCAGCGCTGTGATCTCGGCACGGTTGTTCGTTTGCCGAGGCCCCGCAAGCGGGCTCCCGTGGCTGGGAGGTGTCCAGGGCGATCCAACTCCAGCCGCAGCGCCGATATCTCTCGTCATCCGCATCTTCGCCACCGCTGCCATCGCCGCAGACCAGCACAGTCTGCCCCTGGGCCGCGATACGCAGCAGGTGCAGCGCCTCTCCGAAGAGCGTCTCGGTGTAAACCGTGTCGCAGTCTGGAGGCGTGGTCCAGGCTTTCGGCGGGATCCCTCTCGACCACATACTTGAACAACAGTGCTGCCCAGATTCAGCTATGACGAGGAGCTCCTGGGACTTCTCGACGTCTGGGTGTTCTGGCCTGGCGCTGCAATCCCCCCCAGATTCTGTGGAAGTCGTCGACACGTTGGCCGCAGGAGCAAAGCCCATTACCCGCGTGTTCTTCACCAAAGAGGTCAGTCTTCCTCGCTGGCGTCCAGGTTCCTGCTGTCATGGCTGTTAAGGAAATATGTATGTTTTTCCTTATCAACTTTGCAAGCGTTATTTTTGCATTTGAAACGTCAACTCCATTTTCCATCCCTTTGCCAAGATAACCTCTGGATGCTGCTTTCCACAATTGGAGCTCACTGTCCGACAAGATAGCTGTGATAATGGTCGCAGGGTTACGCTCGGCATCCTCGGGCTTCACTTCCCAATCATCGCCATGCGGGTCACTCCATCTCGTCGCCGTCTTGGGATCCCACCCTGCCTCCCAAAGGGTCAAAATCAACGAGCCGATGATTCCGCGCCTCTGCCTCCAGCGGTGTTGAGGTGGTGCTCTATGTAGACGGTCGTACATGTTCTGCCACACTCTGGAAATAACACCACGCAGGTCGGCGCGGTGAGCGTACAAATCAAACCAAGCTCGCAGTTGTGCCTTTGGAATCTCCAGTGCAGGATGCTTTGCCTTCAAGCTTCAATAATGTCGGTGTACATCTTCCAGGCCGTGGGGCAGCAAGCGCAGCAACGTACGCCTGACGGGCACGGCGTATCGCTGCAGGCGCCTCCCCATGGGCCCGTGTACCATACCTGAGTGTTGGCATTGATCCCTGATTCAACATTGTCATTCTCTTTTCTCTTCTCAGCCTTTTCAACTTCTTTCCCACACATGTCATACGTTTGTAAGCCTTTGCTCTCCTCTCCGTGTGAGTCGCTCGTCTCCTCACTCCGCGTGCGGCTCTGTCGATGCCTAGGTCTCTGGACTCTTGAGCAGCACGAATGAGTATTCCCTTTCTTTTTTAAGCCTGTCCGTGATGCGCTTGGTCATGGCCCAATCGGAGCTGATGATCACGCTTTTGTCTGCTCCAAGGCGCTCTCGAGTGTGACGGTGGAGCTGATGATTGTATTTTTTCCGCTCTCGTACTGCCGTAGACCGTGGTACTCACGTCGTCGAACGACGCTCGGGGGTTGGCCCGTGGGGTCTGGAGGGTCACCTTGGATAGCACCCTGTAGACCACCGCGCGGGCAATATTGTTCGCATGCCTCGACCCTGCCAGGAGTGAGACGATGGCCTGGCAGGGGTTGCCATAGGCTCCATCTTCACGAAAGAGCCGCGGTACTGCGTGTATCTGCAGCTCCAGTGCCAGCACGCGCCACGGGATCTCCATGTCCTCGCGCGCCGTGAGCACCGGGAACTGCCAGGCTGTCGTAGAACCTGCCGATGTCCGCCAGTGAGACCGCCGACGCCATCGCCATCGCATCGGCTGCCTCGTCCTGCAGCGCCCTCGCGAGCGCCTCGCGTAGGCAGGAGGAGCCCTTGAGCGCGGCGTCCCAATGCTGCGACGCCTCGTGCACCCAGTGCTCCACAGCCGGCCTCGTGAGCATCTGCCAGCAGCGGATCAGCCACGCTATCAGCCCCAGAGCCCTGTCCCCAGACTTCTTGGGCTCCAGCATGACGATGGCCTGCAGCAGCTGGTAGGGCCACGCCTGCCTCTCTTCCACAGAATTTATCAAATCCACGAGTTGTTGGCGCGCCGCCACAGGGGGACGGCGCACATCGCCAGCAACAAGTCTGTCGACGCCCCTGCCCTCATCAGGCTGGAGGCGGAGGGCCTGGTCTAGCTGCTCTAGCGACCAGACAGGGCAGGGCTCCTGTCGAGCCTGCTCCCTGACCCGAGCTAAAGCGGCTACGGAATCGTGAGACGTAATTCGTTTAGAGGACCATGTCCCCTCGAAGACAGACGTTTGTCTATGTTTTTATATCAATAATCTCTAGCGGCGATGTGCCCTTCTCGTCGCCGCGGATTACTTCATCTTCAAATCTGGGGCAGGGCTTCGTTATTTTATGCAACTTCCCTGGCTTGGCGAGAGATGGGTCCGAGAGCCAATCGGCCCACGCGCGCGACTCCTTTTCAAAATCTTGCCTGTGGAATCTGGCGGTCTCGTTGGATGCTTGGAGTGCCATGCCAAGGAGCGTAGGATGCTCGACCTTGGAAATGTCCGAGGGCCGCTCAACCCAAACAGCAGGGTGGAGGCGCGTCGTCGGAGTGGGGCTCTTACCTCCCGACGGAATCCCCTCTTGAGCAAGCCTCTGGGCGATGTTGCGAAGCTCCAGCTGCTGCTGACTACCTTTCTTTTTCTCGGCCAACGTGCAATAAAGCTCGAGCGCGTTAGAAACTCTCGACCACCAGCTGGCTTGGTAGCTTTGAAACGGGGCCCACGGAGCCCTCGCTCCCTGACCTCCTGCTCTTTTGGCTTGAATTTACGGGCTCTCCCTTGAAACCTCCTGGCGTTCTGACCGGGCACGGCGTAAGCCTTGAGATAAAAGTTCTCTACCCTCTGCATGAGCTGACCGTGCTCGCGCCGAGAGCGATGGCGTCCTACGGGCTCACGCGGCAGGCAGGGCACTGAGCAATGTGATCAGGGACGCTGTCGGGTTGGGGAGGGGAGGCCTCTGAGACTTCAGCCCAGAGCTCATCGAGGGTCTCCATGACCAGGGCACAAGGGCCGACGCCGCTCGCGGCTGCCACCCCAGAAGCGCTCGGCGAGCCTTCAGCTGATGGAGACAGGTCCCCGCCAGGCCCAGGAAAACCAGACGGGGACGAGACCTCGGGCTATTGAGGGCCTGGTGGTTGGCTGAAGGGCTCCTCTTGAAAAGTGGGGTCGTCCAGATCCCGATCGAGCTCCTCCATCGGGTCAGCTTCAGCCTCATCGAGGCCTGCGAGATTCCCCTGCGGAAAATGCGACCACCCGGTGGGCCCCAAAGCTTTCCAGCGCCGGCGTTGTAGTTCTTGCTCTTTTTCTTCAGCTTTTTTGGAGGCGAGGGAGGTGGCCGCAGCAGCGGCAGCAGCAGAGGCCGAGGGCGAGAGCAGAGCACCTTTTTCTCGCAGGCGCCGCTGCCGCTTGCTGGTGGGGTCCGCCTCTTTCTTGCGAGGCGGGTGCGCGAACGGAGCTGGCATGCGCGGCGATCTCGCGAGCGCTGGAATGACAGAAGCTCGGAGCGTGAGAACCTGACCGACGTGGGGCTTCCAAGGCACCGAAACTGTTTCGAGGCTCCTGAAATAGGAGGTCGCTTCGGGACTCATCAAACCGTAATCTATCTCGGAAGGCTGGCTACCCCTTTTGAAGCAAGTGAAACCTTTTTCCAGGCACGCCATTGTGCCATTCAGTTTGGTTGGCCATCCCGACTTCCAGAACTGCTCCAGGAAGGTATTGAAATCTCCTGCAACTATCCATGGGTTTTTTACAGTGCTCAAACAAGCCCCCATGGAGGCTAACTTGGCAGCATTCTGACCAGTGAAGCAATTCGTACCCTCAAGATACAGGCTCACTAACGTGATTATGACTCCCTTCAAATGCCATGTGACTGGCATCCAGTCCAAGAAACTAAAGGTGGGGCCTCTCTGTCCCAGACTCACCGTCACTGTGCTCTCTGATGCGCAGCGCGGGCGAGACAATTCGCGAAACATAGTGCGCTGGTGCCGTGAGCGCACATCAGTGCAAACGCCACCGCGCGAGCCTCGCTGAGAGGTCTCGCTCTGGCGAGCGGCAGAGAAGGCGGCCTTGAGGCCCCAGCCTCTCACCTCCTGCTATAGCTCGGCCAGCTGCGGCTGCTTGACGTGGGTCTCTTGCAGCATGAAGGTATCGTAGCAGTCGATAGACTCGCGGATGAATCTGCTGGCCGTGACTCCCCACTCGTGAATGTTCCCGATGAAGACCTGCCTCGTCGCACGCTCGCACTCGGGAACCCCATGCGAGCGCCTTGGGCGACCATGGCCCCGTCGGGCAGGGGTCGACGGCGCCCCAGCCGCCTTGTCCTGCGTGCGCGCCGCCGCGAGGAGCCTCTGCTTCGCGAGCTCCCTGGCCTGCTCCTTCTTCTGCTCCTCGGCGCTGGCGATGTCCGCGGCAGCTGGGGCAGCAGCGGCTGGGGCAGCAGCGGGCGGGCCGCCGCCTGCGCTGCCGGCGCCCCCAGGCGACGTGGCCGCTTCCCCAGCGGCGGGCGGGGCGGCCTCGGGCTGCTTCTGCTCCGCGGGCGGCTGCTCCACCTGCGACTCCTGCTGCTTGTCGTGCTTGCGCTTCTTCGCCGCCTGGATCGACGCCGCCTTGTCTGCGACTGCCCTCTGCCTGGCTGTCTCCAAGTGTGCTTTGAGCTGCGCCATGAAGTCGGTAGCTCTGCCTTTGAATTCGTTCATCATTTTCTCTTTGACCCTGTTCACCTCTGCGATAGCCTCCTCGTCAGGAGCGAGGGCTTCTGGCCGTGTTGGCTTTCGAGCCCGATGGCCTGCACCTCCGCCTCTGCCTGCGCGACTGCCGAGGCCATTTCCCTCAAGTCGGTCTCCAACTTCTCCAGGCGCTGCTTAGCTTCCTTTCGTGCGTTGAAGGCCTTGCCGTAGGCCTTGTTCTTCTGCTCTAGCTCCCAGGCTGCATTCGCCAATCTCGTGGCTGTGCTAACCTTCGGCGGGGCGGCTTGGCTGGCTCAGCGATGGCGGTGACCACCGTGGCGAGCTGTTGCGACAGCTCGGGCTTGATGGTGTCCGCGCTGAGCTGCGCCGAGACGTCCTCCAAGGCTTTCGCGAGGCCGCCGTCCTTCGCCGAGCCCTGCTTGTCCTTGCCCTTTCTGGTCATCTGGGCGCCGCAGTCACAGCGCCAGTCCTTGCTGCTCAAGACTGAGCCGTACCCCCAGCGGCCACACTTCTTGCATATCGTCCACTGGTGCTTGGCGCTGTGGCTCTGACCGTACCTAGTGGTGCTCTGCTTCGGCATGGCGCTGCCTTGGCGCTGTCCGTAGCCGTGCTGTCTATGCGACATGGTGCCACCTGGGGGCGTGCTGCCGTGGTGGTCTCTCAGCCTATGCACGTCCAGTTGGCTCCTCAGCCGCTGGCGCGCACGCGCTCGCTGTCTCCGCTCTCGCCTGTGCCAGGCAGGCGAGCGGGAGCGGGAGCGGCGGCGCGCCTCGGCGGCTCTGGGACTCCCCGACGTGGCGGGGGAGACCCGTCGCGCGGCGGGCGGGCGAAATGCCTGCGGGTCCGCGCTGGGGTCGTGGTCTGTCGGGCTGTCCCGAAAGGGGGCGCCTCGGACCACAACGCCTAGGAGGAGGAGGAGGAGGAGGAGGAGGAGGAGGAGGAGGAGGAGGAGGAAGAGGAGGAGGAGGAGGAGGAGGAGGAGGAGGAGGAGGAGGAGGAGGATAGGAGGATAGGAGGATAGGAGGATAGGAGGAGGAAGAGGAGAGGAGAAGAGAGGAGGAGGAGGAGGAGGAGGAGGAGGAGGAGGAAAAGGAGGAGGGTAGGAGGATAGGAGGAGAAGAGGAGAAGAGGAGAAGAGGAGGAGGAGGGGGAGGAGGAGGAAGAGGGGAGGAGGAGGAGGAGGGAGAGGAGGAAGCCTGTCCTGATCAACGAGTGAGTTCTCGTCAAGGTTGTATATTCGATGATGTACAAATTGAGGTATCGTTAGAGGTAGAAGTCGGCTTGCCTTCTCCTCTTCCTCCCCCCGCCGAACTCGGGTGTGAAAGTGCGCGTTGATAGGCCCAGGCGGATCGTGGTCAGCAGCACGCTGCACCTCCAGTGCCGGCTACTGTCATGCAAGTGCCTTCGGTGGGCAGCAGTGCCCCGAGCGTCTTCTGCGTCTTGCTGGGGCCGCTTGGCCTGGTCGTTCTGTTTGCCATGCCGAGTCTGCTGTTGTGAACGTCGCAATCGAAAGTCTCGACGGACAAGGTCTGGGCAGGGAGGGTGACATCGTCACAAACAGGGCCGCGAAGGCATTCTGCGCCTTCGACGGAAGAACAGAGGCGGGGGCTTGTATTCTACTTCATGGTCGGCGTATGTGCGTTCGCATGGTCTCAAAGTTGGTGGACATGAACCATGTGCGCAGTACACCGTAACGCGGACGTACAGCACGTGCGAGCATGTACACATGCACACATGGTACTCGTACTTGCATTTTTTGTGTACATGTGTGCAAAGTCGCACAATGCTCTTGATCTTATTTGCCGATCTGTTCCATACGCGTAGATTTAGACAACTGTCATGGCAGCGGCCTGAACTACACGCATCACGATTCACCTTTTTAAATTCCAGAGGTTTACGCCCTACTCCGCCGACCCCCATACGAAGTGAGGCTCTATGGGCGTCGTGAAGATTTGTCACAGTTTCCTGGGCGCTTGCTGGCTGTGTCTTGGACGCCGTCGCGCGCATTTGATGCCTTCACGTGTCCGGGTGCGTCGGAGGAGTGGCCGCCGCGCAGTCGCTACTCCGCGCATGGGGCTCACTTATCCTACGCTTCTCGGGAGGGAACACTGCAATACGTATGTTGCGCGTCGCTCATGAAGCGAGATGCTCCTGGTTTGACGTCTCGGATGGTCTATTTTGTTTTCTCATATTGGGATTTTCACAATGAGTGATAAGGAGGAAACAAGTGAAGTACATAACGACCACGGTGAGAGGAAGGCGGACAACGAAGACGATATCGAGAACAACGGGACGGTTTGTAATGTTGTCTGGGCTCTGTTTGAGGCCCCCCTCTTGCAGTTGGGGGGTGTCTATGGAGATGCTCGGGAGCATTTGGGGGCTCCCATTTGGGGGCTCTCATTTGGGATGCTCGGGAGTATTCGGGGCCTGTTCCCCCTATCTGCACGAATTTGCGGCCAGAGTTTCGGCCACGTTCGCAGGACAGCCCTGCTACATGCACGGTTTCTTCGCGAGCTCCCGAGTTTGGGGCTATTGCAGGTTTTTAGGTTTTGGGGCTCCCGTACACGGCAGGCGCAAACTGGCAGCATTTTATCTTACAGCCACAGCTTCGACTGAGGGGGGGTCCCACCCATCACTCATCGCCAGACGCGCGTTTCACCAATTCATCTGTGGAGGCGCCTCACTGGGAGCTTTTGAATCTCGCCTCCCCGTGGTTAAGCCTGGCTAGTGCTCCTGGCGACCGTTCCTGGGTCACCGCGGACCTGGCCAGGCCGGCTTGCACAACCATGCGGTACCCCACAAAAAAGGATTGGTGTAACACTACGTTATGACACCACGCTGCGGTTGACGTAGTGTCATAGCGTAGTGTTGCGGACACCAGGGTGTGACGCTACACTCTGGCACCACGCTACGGCTAGCGTAGTGTCATAGCGTAGTGTTGCCGACACCTCGGTGCGACACTACATTGTGACATTACGCTACAGTTAGCGTAGTGTCATAGCGTGGTGTTTGGGACACCTGGGTTTGACATTACACGATGAGAGTACGCAACGGTTGATGGGGGGGAGAAGGAAGAGTTTGTTGTTTGTTTGTTTGTTTCCATCGGGTTTTGCCTCGCTGGACTCTGCTCCGTGACAGAGGATTCTACGCTACGGTTAGCGTGGTGTCATAGCGTAGTGTTGGAGACACCTGGGTGTGACACTACACGATGACACTACGTTGCGGTTGATGTGTGGGGAAGAAGGACAAACTGTTTATTTGCTTTTCCACCGGGTTTTGCCTCGTTGGGCTTGACTCCGTGACAGAGGATTCTACGCTACTGTTGGCGTAGTGTCGTAGCTTAGTGTTGGGGACACCTGGGTGTGACACTTCACTGTGGCACTACGCTACAGTTGATGTGGGGGAGAAGGGGGAGTTGTTTGTTTGCTTTCCTTAGGGTCATACTGGACTCTGGCCCAATGCTAGTGAAGCTAGTGTAGTGTCACAACTTAGTGTCGCAGTCGCTTGGCTCTGACATGACGCTAGTAAAACCAGTGTAGTGTCATAGCGTAGTGTCACAGTCGTTTTTTTCGGCACAAAGCTAGTGCAATGAGCGTAGTGTCATAGCGTAGGGTTAAGACTTACGATTCGGATTTATTTTTTATAAAAAACAGTGGCTTCCGCGGGGTCGCGGGACGACTCGGCTCGTCTAGCTCGTTCGCATCTCGTGGGTTTTGCTTGATTCGGCTTTCGCGCAGGCGCTTTGTTCTAAGGGTCGGGGTCTAGCGTCTCCGCCTCTGCCTCCCTCGCCATTTTTTTTTCGTGTCTGCTGCAATCCGCTTCCTTCTCGGGGGGGCTTCGCTTGGCCAGTACCCCTGGCGACCGTTCCGGGGTCGCCGTGGATTTGGCCAAGCCGGCTTGCGGTTCCATAATCATGAGGCACCCCACAAGAGGCATACGTTGCCAGGCGCTGGAGACGCCACATTGGATTTTGAGGCAAAGCAGTTCCTGCCCGAGTCAAGCCCCACAGTTTTGGAGCAGCGAGCAAACAGAATAGTGCGTCCCATGCGCGCGGCTTGGCTCGCCCTGCAACGCGGCGCGCACGCGCGCGCGCGCCGCGCGAGGGCGCAAGAGCAAGGGAACGCAGCGAATTTCCCCCCATGTCCCGCCGATAACGCTCGCACCCTGACCAGCCGCGACCAACCGGCCGGCCGAACTCAGATGCTGCCTGGTCGTGCGGTTTTGGAACCAAGCGCGCGTCGCACTTGGCGCGAGCCACTCGCCTGGCAGCCCAGGCGTGGGCCTCGACTCACCGCGTTACCGCCGTTCCACCCGGGCCCAGTGCTGCCGCGCAGTACGGCCCTGAACGCCAGAATTACCAGGCATGCATTCGCGCGCGCACGCGCGCGCAGCTCACGAGATGCCAAGAAGACGTCGCCCACGCTTTCAGCTTGGACACTTGCTGTGAGGACGAGCGGGCCGCAAGCCGCGCGTTCATGATGTAGCGCGCATAGTCTTTCTGGCCAGGATTGGCGCTGCCCAGGCGGCCGCCACGAGCCAGCTGGATACCGTTGTTTCGGTGTTGGACGGCAAGATCCTTGACGCAACCTTCAGCGACCAGTGCCGTGGGCATGACCGGGGAGGCCCCCGCGTGCGCCGAAGGGTCGTCCGATTTCCAGACCGACTCCTCTGCTTATTCAGCAACCGCCTCGCCGTGGAAGTTTCGGGGCGCTGGAGTTGCGCCGAGCGGTTGCTGGGGCCTGAGCCGCGGGGCTCTCTGCAGATGCAGATGGGTGCAATGCTGAGTCGCCTCGCCGTCGATGCAGACGCGCGCGCATTCCGCGGCCAGGGCGGCCTGGAAAAATATGAATATCGCTGCGCCCGCCTCTTCTGGGCAGGCTCCAGCTTCCGCGCCAGCGTCGCGGGCGTCTCCATCGAGTGCACCAGCGCGTCCAGCAAGCTCAATGTCACGATCTTCTTTATTTCTCTGCTCGCCGCCGCGGGCGTCCACTTCTTCCGGCTCGGCCGCGACGTCGCGCGGCAGTTGGCGTTGGGCCCGCCGCCGCGCCTGCTCGATCGCGAGATGTCTGAGGCGGAAATGGACTCCGGCTCCCGCGACATCAGGCGCGTCGGCGCCGCGGCGCTGGATCTGCGCTTCCGCCGCAGGGGTCAGCGCATCCGCCGCGTGGGCGCCCAGTGGTCTAGCGATGCCCCCTTGCTCTGAGATGTTGCGCCAGGGGGTCGCCTCTTCTCGCGCGACGCGGCTGCCTCGGCAACCGCTCGCAGATTGGCCCCATGGAACCCTGGGGCGTCTGAAGGGCGCCGCGAACGAGGGTTTCTCGGATTTCATTCTCGCGACGGAGGAAGCCTCCGAGGACCTGGCGACCCCGCGCGCGGCCGAGACCATCACGAAACAGTTGCTCACCGATGCCCCCGCGCGCGCGCGAGCGCCGCCTGGGAGGGCGTCAAGAACGAGCGCATGCAGGTGGCGGCGGCCGCGAAGTGTTCGTGGTCAGTCGGGTCGCTGAGCTCAACGACGCCGTGGGCGTCGCGAAGGTCTTGGAGAGCGACGCCTCTGCGGCCGCGACGCAGGGCCACAGCGTCGCGCAACTCTCCAGTCGCCGCTCGCAGACGCGGGCGTCTGTGATCCTGAAGAGGTAGGAAAACAACTCTGCGGTGCAGCAGTTTGCTGGGGGGTGCCGCCCCGTGGTCTTCGCGCCGCTCGCGGTGACGTGCAGGCGGCGATGCGTCTCGGCATTTTGCCTACGAGGGCCTGTTCGCGACGGGGGGGGGGGGCTCGTCGCCTGCCCGCGAGGTCTTGAGCGCAGCGTGCGAGGGCCCGGGGAGGTGTCTACGGCGTGGCTTTACGCGCGTTGGTGTTTTATCCAGCGCTCATTCATAGCGTGTATTTCATGTGATGGTTACTGATTGACTCAGAGGAATACTGAGGAATGCCAGTCATGATCTTCAAGCGCAGCAGAAGTGGTGACGAGTTTACACCCGCGACGCCTGACGCCCTTCGGCTGCGCCTGCTGAGGCGCGCTCTGCGATGCTCGCGGTGGGGGGCTCTCGAGGGTCAGGCCCGCAGGGGCGCCATGATGGCCCGAGCAGGAAATTCGCAGTTTCCAGAGAAGGCCTCGCAGGAGGTGCACGCCTCTATGGGGACAGCCCCGGGCGCGCATGCAATTGAAGTTCTTGTTGGCGCCGTTGATTCAGTTGCTCGGGTCTACGCGAACCGCAGGGCGCGCGACGCAGACCGGGGGCAGCCCCCTCCGCGCGCGCGCTGCGCGCGGGGGCCCGCCGCAGAGGCGCGCGACTTCTGGCGTTGCCCGGCCGCGAGGTTGCGTCGATTAGGTTCCGCTGTGCCCGCGTCAGCTCTTCCGCAGAGGATGGCTTGGCCTGTCTCCGACGACCCGCCAGCCATTCGGTCGGCAGTTTCAGGGGCTCCTCGAGCTGATAGCCGCCATCAGAGCAGCGATTCTGCAACTCAGCTACCGACCAGAGCGCGGCGCCGACGATCTTCTTCTACGCGCGGGCGCTGGCAGGGGACTCGAGCGCAGCCTGCCTGACGCGCGCAGGCGAGGGGGCAGGGGGGGGGGGGGGCAGCAACCGCCCTGGCGAGCAGCGAGGAGGGGGAGGCCACCCTGAGCAGAGGAGGGAGGCAGAAGCACCACCACCACCACTTCTTCGACCAGGAGCTGGAGGGCGAGACCTTTCAAGGTCATCACCTTCGGGTGACGGCTGGTGGAATTACGCGTCGTCGCTGTGGTGTATTCCGCCAGCATTCGTGCCGAACATAGTTGAGCCTGTACATCTCTTTCTTTCCCTACTTGCTGGGCTTCGGCTACTTGGCGGTCGCTGACGTCGTCGCGAAGCTGGAGTCGGAGATCTCCGAGTCCGCCGATGATGGGTCCGGCCCACCAGTGCAGCTCCAACGTGCGACAGTGCCTGGCCCTGGAGGTCATCTCACACTTAGTCCTCGCTCGTCGCTGCTGCATCAGCCCTGGGGTGGGCACTTGATCGCCGACGTTGGCCTTGCGGTGTAGCCGCCGGTCGGGGGCGGCGAACGGCGCGCGGCGCCGCGTTGCCCAGCTCCTGCCAGCACATTGCCTGCGCTTCATCATGGCGGCACCTTCGCGCGGACAGTTGCGCGCGAGCGCGCCGACGCTCGCGGCGCTGCCTGTCCCTGGGCGCCGCTGCCGATGTCGCGCCCAGAGTCGCTCGACGCGCGACATCAGCCCAGTCGACGCCACATTGGGGGAGGAGCCTGCCCTCATGCTCTCCCTGCTGTGGGGTGCCGCCGCAATCGAGCAGCCCTGGCAGCGGGCAGCGTTTCCCACGCGTGCGATGGCCATGGGCGAGCACGCGTTTCTCTCCAGCGTTGACCGCGCCGGCGTTCGGGCTGAAGCTGCAGGGTTGTGCGTGGGGCGCGCGAGGCAGCTGGCTGCTTGATAAACCTGGCCACGCGCAGCAGCATCGGCTTCACCGTCTCTCTTTATGCGTGCTCTTTCTTCCGTGACAGCAGCGTTTCGGAGGGGCGCGTTTCATTGCCAGATAGCTTTAATTCATAGGACCCGTGCGCGCCCGCGACTTTCATTGTGGCTCGCAGCGTGCGCGCGGATCAAATGGCACATGGTACGGGAAGAGCACTTCTGACACCCATGGCCGCCATATCTATCACCATTTGCTAACCCCGCAATTCCAGTTCCTCCTCTTCCACCCCCTCCTCTCCCTCGGTGTTGTGCGCGTCTGTGCCGCGCGCTAGGTGAGGGCGCGAAAGGCTGTCAAGTGCAACCACCCCAGCCGCGCCAATATGTTTTGTTAGCCCGTCTTGGGGTGTGCGGCGGCTTTCGCATTAGATCGCCAATTGTTGGATCGTGCTGTCCGCTCCCATGTTCTCCGTCAGAAACATACCCCCCAGAAGCAGTGCGAGTGCAGGCGGTAATGCGACCATTCTTTGGGAGACTGGTGGCGGCAACGCGACCTGCATGCCAGGCAACAGCGCGCAAGAGGGCAGCAGCACGAACGGCACGCTTGGGAGCACGAGAGCGAACGACAGCGCGAACCCTATCAGTTCTGCGAGCGCGAGCGCAAACCCGTGGTGTTCTGGGCCAGGGCCGCATGGGAACATGTCGAGCACCGACGATTTTTGTGGAAGGGCCAGATCCACGGTGTATTTCTGGAGCGGCGCTTTGAGCGCGGAAATTGCCAAGGCGATTTTTCAGCCCGTTGGTGGCACTGCGCAAGCGCATTTGTGAAATTGTTTTCCACTGTTTTGCGTAAATGTCCAAATTTCTTCGGTAGCTTGCCAAGGCAGCTTGCGAGGGCAGCGAAGAGCATGCACTCGGGCCTCACCGGAACACCGTCAGCAAGCAGGCTGGCAGCGAGATGACGCCTCAGCGTTCGCTGAGGCCGCCTGGAGGGATTTGTCCTTGTGTTCGACGTGTCGAACGCCTCCAACGTCCAACAGCGTTCCTTGGAACAGCATTCGAAGAGGTTTTGCACCAGCAGGCCCCATGATGGACGTCTAATCCTGTTGCCACGCCCACCAACGCCCAGTGCCCGGCAACGGACGCTCGGCGACCGACAATCGATGGTCGCCGCTAGCCTTTCCCGCGGCCTCTGACGACTTGACGTTCGGCGGCAGCTGACCAGCTTTTACAGGCAGCTGGCGGGAGTTGTGTTGCGGGCGGCACCCTGTGAAGCTGGCAGGGTCGTGAGCCCGCGGCCGGCCAAAGGAGGGATGGGTGGATAAAGTGATGGTGGGGGAACAGGGGAAGGAGGAATCCGCCGGCACATCCGATGAGGTTACCGATGACGACGTCAAGAAGGTGATCACGTTGTGCTTGCGCCACAGACTCAGGAAGGATGTGCTCGAGAGCATGGACTCTGGCGACAAGGCGCCGCTCCACGTTTCCGTTTCGTTTTGTTGTGTTTGTTTGTGTTGTTTTGTTATTGTTGTCGTCGTTGTTGTCGTTATCGTTGTCGTCGTTGTCGTTGTTGTCGTTGTCGTTGTCATTGTCGTTGTTGTTGTGGTTGTTGTTGTTGGTGGTGTGTATGTGTGTGTGTGTGTGTGCGTGCGTGTGAGGGTTTGTGAGTGTTGTGTGCGCGTGTCATCGCCAGCGCAGTCTCTCTGCCTAGCCGCTGACGCAAAAAGCGTGTGTGCGTGCGTGCGTGCGTGCGTGCGTGCGTGCGTGTGTGTGTGTGTGTGTGTGTGTTCAAAACGAATATGTTATTCCCTTTCCTCCTGCATCTGAGGCTGCTGGTCTTCCTTGTGCTTACGATTTGCATGTTGGAAGCACTTCCGAATCCATACTTGCCCTCCTTCTGCAGCATTGTATCAACAGTTCGTCGCAAAGTCGCGGCACGCGCCAGTCTACCGTGCGATCGCACGTGTGACGATCGCGCTCAAACCGATGCAGTATTAGTTTGTTGTTTGTTGTAGTTATGTGTTGATGTTGTTTTAGTTTCGTTGTGTCTTGTTGAGTTCGCACCTCGACCAAAACGTGTTTCGCGTTGGTCTCGAGAGGCCATCAGTCGGAGGGCCTTCCCTTCTAGTTGGTTCCATGGCCCTCTCAGGTCTTGACGAGAGGAGGATAGTTTGGAGAAGGAGGAGGAGGAGTTGTAGAAGGAGGAGAAGCAGGAGGAGGAGGACGGGGACGAGGATGATGGTTCAGAGAAGGACGAAGGGGAGCATGAGGTCATGTGTCACCGTGCGTGAGCTCCGGGCTTCCACCCGCCTATGGCAGCGCATTGGCTACCATAACAGGCGGTGGCAGGCTGTAGCCCGCGGTTGCGGCAGAGAGTGAGCGGGTACCGCTGTGCAAAGACGCATCTGAGCACGGAGTACGTATACAGTTGCTTTTGGCAAGTCCCGCCACCGTACCAGCGTATCACTCCAGGTTGAGTCTCTGCGATGTGTGCACATGACACCAAAATGTGTAACATCTTGTCCCCCCCAGGCATTCGATCGCCGTAAATGTGGCACGCTGTCTCTCCGCGTCCTCGGCGTCGGCCTCAGTCAGTCTTGATAACCCTTCCGTCCACGTTCCTTCCGCCCCACGTCATCTCCGTCTCTCCTACTTCCTCCTGCCCTATCCTCTGTGTGGCGACGGTTGCAACAACGCCCTGCAGGCCTTAGCATGTGACACTTCGGCTGTCTTCAGTCTTTCTTGAGCACCAGTGGGCTCCTCCTGGGCCCTCTTGGGCCGTCTTGGACGTCTCCTGGGCCGTCTGGACGCCGTCGTGGGCAGTCTTGGGTCTTTCGGCCCTCTGAGGAGCTTCTTGGGGCCCTCTTGGGGCCCTCTTGGGCCATCTTGGGGCTTTCTCTGGCTGTCCTTGATTGCTTGAGCCGTCTTGGGGCAATCTTGGGGCTGTCCTGAGCCGTCTGGAGGTTTCTTGGGGCGCTGGTATTCCTCAAATGGTGCTTGCACTAAGGATTATCGCTTATCTCCTCGAACGTAACGGGACACGTCTGCAGCGTTTTCGCACCGTGGGCGCCCCGTGCTCAGGTGGGTATGCTGTTTTTTTCGGCTGGTGGGTGCCCTGAGGGCGCTTGGTGGCCACCTCGTGGGCGCCTCATGCGCTGGCTGGGTCTGCCGGATTCTCGGCTGGTGGGCGCCCGTGGGCGCCTCGTGGGCGCCTCGTGGGCGTCTCTTGCGCTGGCCAGGCCAGGTCTGCCATGATCTCGGCCGGTGGGCGCTTTGTGGGCGCCTCGCGCGCTGGCTGGGGCTGCCGGATTTTCGGCTGGTGGGCGCCCGTAGGCTTCGTGGGCGCCTCGTGCATTGGCTCGCCTTCCATGGCGCACGCATAGTCTGCACGACAGAGATGAGACCACACAGCTTGCACTACATTAAGACCCCACTGCCGAGGCCAGACGTATACGCACCAGACGAAACGTTGTGCACACCCGTTCACTCTAGGTATCACAAAGAGAACATGCTGGGCTGTTTCGGTACCGCCCCCCTCGTCCTGCCAAATAGAGGTATGCGGGGCCGCTTGCACACGACGATGCGGGGCACATGCGCGCGCGACCGCGCGCGCATGTCAAGCCACTCAAGATCATATGCCTTTTCAGATTTCAAGACAGCTGCTCATCACGGTTTTCCCACAAACAGCAGTCAGGATGTTCGCGCGCTTGCACTCGTTGAAATCATAGCAGCTCCTAGCAGTTTTCAGCCGGTCTGCTAAATGAAACCATGTGGGCCACACGCGCCCGCACGTCGAAAACGGCCATCAACCATCGCGCCCTCGCCAACTCAGCCTTGCCAAGTCATATCATGCGGGCCAGACGCGAGCGACTCTGGCGCGCATGTCGAAATCCATTTTTAACCGTTGGTGCCCCACAATTTCAATACCCAGGTGTTCAATCACATACGACAATCAGTATGACAGAATTTGGGAAATTTTGCGGGCGGGCACTTCCTCATCCTCCTCCTCAGCACACTCGTCATCGCAATTGTCAGCGCTCTCATCGTCATCATCGTCATCATCGTCACAATCACCATCGCTGTCATCTCGTCATCTTCGATGTCGCTGCCCTCTTAAAATTATATTCGTGCGCATTTCCTTGTCATCCTCGCCAGCACCATCGTTATAATCATCGCCAACGTCACCTTTGCCACCGTCATTACTATCGCAATCAGCTTCATCATCGTTACCATCGTCGTCGTCATCGTCGCCACCGCCGTCATGATCATCACCACCCTCCTCGTCACCATCATGGTCGTTGTTGCCGTCCAGTTGAGTTTTGCCTACACTTTGCGGGCGGGTGTGTGAGTGGGGTGTTTGCACGAGCATTGGAGGCGGCCACGCGCGGATGCGACCACCATATGTTGATAATGTGGGTGTAATCATGCATGAGAAAACAATCTCTCCACCCTCCCGTTCCAAGGGTTTACTGTTTTCTTTTTCTCTTCTCTCCTCTCGTTCTAATAAAAACACACCACCCCAGCCAGGCCGGTATCGACACCCACCGTCTTCCCTGTCAAACAATAGTATGTGTGCGCACCCGTTAGTCTCAACATATTTTTGTCCTCCAGATTTTTGTCAATAGATGCCACAAAGTCCATACGCGCGCGCATATGTCAAAACATACCAAACACATTAGTTTCTGCTGTCGTTTTTGCATAACACACCAAACTACAATTTGTCTTCACCAGTGTATTGCAGATATTCTGCCCGCGCGCACTTGCTGAAGTCGTAGGATAAGCATGGTATTTGACCACGCGGTGCATCCGAGTTGATCTAGCATGCGTCCAGCTTACGAATCTGTATCAAATAATACCATGCGGGCCGCACGCGTGTCGGAATTCTGCCGAAACCATTGGTTTTCGACGCGTTCCAAGACAGAGTCCTACCAGCCCTGTGGGCGACAGGTGGTCTAAGGAGGGCCTCTTTCCTCTTCTCCCAAACCCCTCCTCCCTTCGGGGAGGGGAGCCCTCCCCCTCCCCTCCCTGAGTTTTTTTTTTGAGGGGTTGCGAGGTGTCAGAGGGTCCTTCTCGGCCGCTGGGAGGGCTAATTTTTTGACACCCCTCACGAGGATCGTGGCCCCCGAGGGGGGCAGGGAAATCGAGGACCCTCCCTCTTTTGACCGACCGCCTCCAAGATGGCCCCAACAGGCCCTCCAGGGCTCCCAAGAAGCCCCCAGGAGGGCTCCAAGAGCGCCCCAAGTGGCTCCAAGAGGGCTCCAAGAGGCACCCGAGAGGCACCCAAGAGGCACCCGAGCGGCTTCAGAGGGCCCAAGATAATTTATGGGCATCGTTTCTGGATGGACTGGTGGGGATACACGAAGCGTCAAGAATTCTTCAACCGTGTATGAAGACCAATCGTTTTTTCAACAACAAGTCGGCCAGATTTCTTGAATGTCTGCACGCGCATTTCTGCACAATTGCCCTCATCAGCGCCGTGGTGTCTCTGCCGTTGTCGTTCTCGTCAACCGCTGCCATTGCCACCATCATCATCACGATCGTCTTCTTCACCGACACATGGACATCTTCTTCGTCATCGTCGTCACTAGCATCGGCGCCATCATTGGCCTTGCCGTCGTCATCGTCATTGCCACCACCATCGCTACTATCATCATCATCATTGCCGTCGTTGTCGACGTCATCATGATATCGCGCCCGCCCCAGTCACCAACCCGTAGCGAAATGCCCGCCCGCCAGCGCGGGAAGTTCTCGGTCCATCGGCAAGCTCTCTGGTGGCTGCATCAATTGTGCCAAACCAGCTGGTCGCTCTGTGCGCGAACGTGCACGTACTATATCGAACATGATTACGATGATTGGGAAACACACGCTGGGCCAGCGGTGAGGCGAGAAAAGGGCAGGATGAGGAATTTGTTCATGAGGGGAACAGGAAGATTATGCGGAGGAGTATGGGAGACGACCCGGAATATTGTTGATTATACTTGCGCGATTAGTAGGATAGTGAAGGAGACGAGTAATGAGCATATGAGTAATATTATTGACAGCAAGAATAGGATGAACATGGAGAGGGATACGCATAGGAAGGGAGGACGGTATGCGGAGAGGGAGGAGGAGGAGGAGGAGGAGGAGGAGGAGGAGGAGGAGGAGGAGGAGGAGGAGGAGGAGGAGGAGGAGGAGGAGGAGGAGGAGCAGGAGCAGGGATTTCCGCCATCACGTAGTGATAAATATTAAAAACCCAACATTGCCAGGGCATGTGCAGTGACCTCAAACGGCCTAGGCGGGGAGTGGGACTCAGAGGTGCACGTACACGTCCTACGCCTCCAGGACTGACCCCCCCCCGAGGGGAGGGGACACAGGACACCCCTCGTCACCAGGCGGGTCACCTGGTGCGAGTCTCGGGGCGGCTGCCCTGGCCTGCTCCCCCAGTCCCCTTGCCCAAGGGGGACAGAGCAGGACTCCCCATGAGCCTGGCCGAAGCCAGACCCCCCCTCCACACCCTGGCGCGACCGGGGAGTCGCCGGGCCAAGACAGTGGAGGGGGCCCGAAACGGCCGTAGCCGAAACGGGTTTACCGTTTAGGCCCGAAGACCTGGGTCGGTGCCCCCACTGCCGAATCCTCCCACCCACCCACCCACGGCAGTGGCGCAGCCCCCATACAGGCCACGACCAAGCGGGTTTCAGTTCCCCCGGACGCCGGGAGGTGCCGCCCACACCAACCGGCTGCCCGCCCGGTGGTGAGGAGGAGGAGGAGGAGGAGGAGGAGGAGGAGGAGGAGGAGGAGGAGGAGGAGGAGGAGGAGGAGGAGGAGGAGGAAGAGGAGGGAGGAGGGGAGGTGGAGGAGGAGGGGGAGGAGGGGGAGGAGGAAGCGAAGGAGGAATAGGGAGGTTTATTTAAGAGGCTTACGCCATTCCGCCGACCCCCAGAAGAGGGATGAAGTTAACGGGTGAGGCCTTTGGGGGCCTCTTGGGGACCCACTGGGGGCCTCTTTTGGGTCTCTTAGATGCCTCTTGGGCCCTTTTGCGAGTTTCGTTTGCGCCTGCTGTCGGTCTCGAGGGTCCTCTTGGGGCGGAGGGCTCGGAATGTCAAGTTCGAGTTGCCTCTCTTGGGCCCCTCTTGGGGCCTTGTTGGGGCTCTCTTGGGCGATCTTGGGCGCCTCTTGGGCCGTCGTGGGACCCTCTTCGGCCGTCTTGGGGCCCTCTTGAGGGCTTCTTGGGCCGTCTTGGAGCGATCGTGGGGCCTCTTGAGCCGTCTTGGACGCTCAAGAGGCCCCCCCAAATGCGAAGAAATTCTAATTATTGGTTTTCCCGATTGATTTGGACGAGTCTTGCTTCTTGGGACTCTTTCGGGAAACGTCTTTGAGCCCTCTTGGGGCGTCTTTGAGGCGTCTTGGACAGTCTTCAGGCTATCTTGGTCGTCTTCGAGGACTCCGGGGCGTGTTGGAACCCTGCTTGAGCAAGCGTAGATCGATTCTTAGGCATCTTGGAGGCCACAGGGTGTAGAAATGAAGGCTCAGGCCCGGGAGAGCGTTGGTGAGCTTGGACCCCCCCCCTGGGCCTCCCCCCGTCTAATCGGATTTCAAACCCCAGGGGAGGGGGAAAGGGGGAGGCGGGCAGCCAATCATCTCACACGCCTTTGCACCCCCAGCAAGCGCGTGTCGGCGGATTACAACATGTGGGCTGGGAGGAACACGTCGTATGGTTTCCACCGCAGCTTTTGTCTGAGTGTCAAGATGGAGGTTGTGGAGCGCGTGGTGTGGTTGGTCATTACCCAGATTTGGCATGCGTTGGCGTCGATTTTCTGCTAGCGTCTGTCTGCAGTCGCTTGCCATACCTTTCGCTGGAGTGGGATCGGCCTAGGGAATGCTTGGAGTGGATCTCGTTGTAGAGGCCCGAAGGCTCTTTCCAGGCACCAGTAGGCCTTATGGGTCGGGCGCCCACGGATGAAAACATGAAGTCCTGTGTCGGGCGCCTCTGACAGTTGTTGGCTTGTTATTTTGACGATCCCGGAGCGCGGGCAGCCCCACTCCCCTCCTTGCCTCGTGTGCCAGCAGTCTCCCATGGTCTTCCTTCAGAGACTCCGAGATTTCGGGCGTCGATGCGTGGTCGTCGATTGCGCCGATGACAGCTGTGTGAGCGCTTGCCAGGGAAGTCGTTTCGTCACTTATTCGCGTCAGACTGGCGAAGCTCGGAGAACCTTGCCATGACACACCCTCGCCAAGTAGCGAGGCCTAGTGAAAAAGGTGCTCTACCCAAGGAAGGACGGAATCCTCGTTGGATTTCGCTCCCCTCCCCTCTTCCGCCTCGCACCTTCCCTCTCCCCTGGCTTCCCCGCCGCTATCCCTTCCTGCACCTGCCTCTCCCCTCCTCTCCTCCTCCCCTTCCTTCCCTCATTCACCCTGTCCAGACCCCCCTCTCAATGGCGGTCCGCTTCAGGGGCCTCGGGGCTGGGAAACCCCACCCAGAGGACCAGCGTGTTGATTTCAGTGCACATCGACAGCGACGAGGGTAGCACAGGCTCAGCGGCAGGCCGTCGGGCAGAGTGCCTGGCTCGCCTCGCTCGCTTCCGCTCTGCGCTTTTGCCCCCAGGTCCTGAAGGTGTATTCCGCCGTCTTCGAGGAGTAAGGGCATATCCTTTGCGTCCACGTGCCTTGGGCGTGGACATCGCTGTGGGCTTGGAGGCCCGCAGCGAGGTAGCGGGAATCGGACAGAGGAACAGGCGGAGGCGGAGGAGGAGGAGGAGGAGGAGGAGGAGAAGGAGGAGGAGGAGGAGGAGGAGGGGGAGGAGGAGCGATTCCGGGGAGGAGAAGTATAGGCCAGTATTGGGGGAGGGGGAAGGGCTAGCAGTGCAAAGAAGAGCCCGTCGCTCTGCAGGATGGCAGGAAAGTGGATGATGCGGAGAGATATGCAGCCTCACGGGCAGCCTCCCCGTGACGATCTCCCCCCCCCCCTCGCTTCCTCCCTTCACCCTGGCCGTGCCCCTGCCCCTGCCCTTCTCCCGCTTCTCTGTATCCTCTCCAGTCTCCTCAGTGGGCCGCCCGCGTGGCAGGACTGAGCTACGTCGCCCTTGGCCTCCCGAAGCCGGCCACCTTACCAGCAGAGGGACGAAATCGTCCCTTCGTCGGACGGGGCTAGGACGAGGGGAAATCCGTTCCAGAGCGTTCCAGAACGCTCTCAGAGCGTTCCAGAACGCTCTGAGAAGGCCGCGGCGCCCGAGACATCCTCCAGAGCCGCCGGATCTCAGAGATTCTCGATTGATCCTCACCCGATTTATCCTCGTCCTGGCTTCGTCTTTCTTTGCTTGTTTCTCGCATGCTGGGACACAGCTGCTGCTCCACTTGCCTGCCCGCTCTCCCTCCCCGCTCCCTGTCTGATTGCCCGGTCCCCAGGCCCCCTCAGCTCGCTCTCCAGTTGTCGTTCCGCTCCGCCAGCTGCCGCTCCCCCTCCCAGCGCGTCATCTTTTTTTCCCTCCCCTTGGGGAAACGCAAGGCTCGAGTGTGCCGGAACTCGGTTTTGCCGACGCTTTTTGACGAGTCTAGTTTTCGTGGGATGCTTGCAGCAGGAGCTCGTGTCAACTTTCAAACTGTCTCGTCATTTTCATGATGCCCCCGTCAGGTCAACCCGAGTCCCCCGAACCCGAGTCTTACGTTTCCCCGTTCCCCCTCACCACTACCTCTTCTCCCTCTCCGCTGCCGATGTCTGTTGCGAGTGCGCTCTCCAGTTCCCGTGAGGAGGAGGAGGAGGAGGAGGAGGAGGAGGAGGAGGAGGAGGAGGAGGAGGAGGAGGAGGAGGAGGAGGAGGATTGTCACGGCTGTCGTTTAAGGCACGGGTAATGTTTTGCCGCTTCATGGGGAGGATGACGGGTGTTGGATCTCCGTGATTCCGACTTCATGGAGGCTCCTGATTTGCGCCCCTGCTCTTGCGATTTAACCCGCTCTCGCGGCGGCGCTCCATTGGGAGGCGGCGGCCCGCAGAGAGCCCGTCTCATGCCGGACGCATGTGAGGTTTCGAGCAGAAACGGCAAATATTCTGCGAGCTTTGTCGATGGTGTGGGTGATGACGGGCAGCGAGAGGAAGCCAGTTAGGAGGAGGAGGGGGAGGAGGAGGAGGAGGAGCAGGCGGAGGCCAGGGAGTAGGAGTATGAGGAAGAGGAGAAGGATGAGGATGATGATGAGAAGCGCTCGGGTATTGCAGATGATGACGAGGTCGACAGATTGCGGCTGTGTCGACAGGTTGCGGCCGTGTTGACAGGTTGCGGCAGTGTCGCGGCAGCGAAACTTTCATGTATTATCAATGCGGAGCTGAAGCGAGAGCAGGCTTTCGCTTTCCCGCGCACGACTTCGCTCCCTCCGAGACTGGCGCGTTCAAAACATGCGCCGCGCCCCAGCAGGAGTGCAACCCTCAGGGAATGCTGGCGCGGCGCTTGGGCCAAAGCAGCATCTCGCTCTCTCGGTTCACGCGCGGCCCTGCTTCCGACGGGCTTGGCGAGCGACACACATGCGCCGCGCCAGAGCGGGCTCGCAACTTTGGGGCGCTGAGGCGAACGCGACGTTTCGTTCTCTTGCGCACGATGCGGTGCATTCGATTCCTGCCACACCTTCCACAATTCTGATGGCACAACGTTATTGTTCTTTGGCGTAGAATCAACGTTCCAATGCTCTCGATGGGTAGGTCCCCCTGGCTTTTGCCCTTGATTCTTCACGCTTCGCGTATCTCCGCCAGTGCATGGAACTGTTCTGGCTTCTGCCCTGTGGTTCGCACGGCAATTTTCTGGCAGGATGCTGGTCTGGCTTCCCACCTGCGGGTCCGGCCTGTGTTCCTTGGTTGCCCACCTGTGGCCGCCTCTCTTCCTAATTTGTTTTTGCATGTGCATTCCGCGCGTCCTCGCGCTAATTATCGTGCGCTGTGCCCCAGCCTCGTTCACACCGCCCTCTGGACTTTTCCTTGCGGGCGGCGAATCAAAAAGTATCTCCGCCAGTGGTTGCGGACTCCGAGACAGGGGCGACGTCTCCGTGCATAGGTCGGTCGCTTATGCCCGACTACTTCCTGGAGTCCATGTGAGTGAGGCGTTCCTCGGTTCCCCCCCTCTTCTGCCCGCGCGTGCTCTCGCGCCCGCCGCCTTTCCTCGCTCTCTCGCCTCCTCGTCGTGATGGACGGTGCGGCCTCACGGGCCCCCCGTGCTGCCACAGCGCAGCGTGACCCACGCCAGTACGCGCTGGTCGGTACGGTTCGAGCTGGCGCCACTGTGCGACTTCTCCTCCGTCTGTTTCATTATGATGCCTGCGTCCCCACGCCTGGGTCGCCCGCATCTTAATGGGGGGCATTTTGTCCCTGGCACGTGCACTTGTTGCGTCGGCCTATGCGCCGTCGTAGCCAATTATCCCGCCCTGTGCCCCAGCCGAGACCGTCCGGCTTCCTGGATCTGTCCTTGTGAGCCGCCAATCAAAAAAAGTATCTCCGCCAGCCGTCAGGGGTCGTGCAAAGTGGTTGACGCTGCCGATCAAAGACCACGCACTCGTGGCCGCTTGTACACTTTGGTTTACTGGGCGGCGCCTAGGTGCGTCTGCTGGTGAATGCTGAGCATTTTGTTCAGTGCATGTGCAACTGCACGTTCTGCGTGCAATTAGCTTTGTGCCGCCCGCCCCGGACATTGCCTGCTGCCGCCAGACCGTTGTCGCGCGGCCGCCGACCAAAAAGTATCCCCACCAGCGCGCTCGCAGTTCGACTCAGTTTCAGCCTGCCGCCCGCCCGCCGCTGGGCCGCCGAGTGGGGCCTCGGCTTGCTGCGTTAGTTGTCGCCCGTTTGTTCGCGCTGCCTCGGCTTAATTAGTCTCTGCGTAGCCCGCTTTGCCCTGATTCGCCGCCGGCGCGCCCGCCCGCGGCCGCTGACTAAAAAAGTATCCCCACCAGCAGTTCCGTTCGTAACCCGAGCTGACTCGACTCGCCGCTGGCGCCTTCGCCTGCGGTTGCCACAAAAAAGTACCCCCACCAGCCCTGACATATCACAAGGCTGCGTTGCGCATGCATCGCGCGAAGGACCCCCCCCGCCCGCATAGCGAGCAAATACTTCGGGCGCGTGGTGTGTGCCGCCGCCTGCGGGCAGATGCATGGTGGCTCCACTGCCGCATGGATGCGTGCAGCCAGCTCGCAGGCGGTGGACCCCAGGCACTAACGAGGAGTGGAACCTTCTCCGACACTGCGCTTCTTTCATTGCGGCACACCACGTCCTTCTGTTCCTCGCCAACGGGCTACCCGGCTCCGCCCGCCGTCGGGCAACTGAGGAACGCCTTCCCCGCACTTGCTACAGATGCGGAGTGGGCGCCCGCAGGTTGTGGTACACCCGAGGAGCACTGCTGCTGGTCACGCCTGGTGCCCCTCCTGCCTAGGGCCATGGGACTAGTCCCTCGCCCTGTGGCCAGCCATTCAACCCGACCTGCTACCCGCTGCCGTCCGTCAGGCATCCAACCACCTCCGTGGAGATCGCCCACTCCTCGTCACCCCCACGCGTGGGGGGACCTGCGGTGCTTGCTCATTTTGTGGGCTAGGGGAAGCGACCGCCGAACATCTCTGGTCGTGGTGCCCAGCTGTTGCGCTCGCATGGAACGCCTCCAGGACAGCTGCGCACCCCGCCGATATCGGTGCCGCCATTCTCACCGGCGGGGCTTACCAAGGCCTCGCGGCCCGTATCTTACACCAGGTTTCCTACCGGCACTGCGTCAGCCTAGGCAATTCCCCCCTCGACCCCACTGAGGCCGCGCGCCTCATCGCGCAAGGCCTATCGGTCGCCTACACCGACCTCCGGAGCGACGAGGAGATTGACGAGGATGCCCCAGCCGGGGAACCCAGCCACCACCACGAAACTGCCGTCTGGGCACCCTCGCTCTCCAGATGCCCGGAGTGCAACCCCAGCCCCCCGCAGGGCGCGGCGATTTTCGGTGCAGCCAGGCCGCGCCATACACGCACATCCGACCGCGCTGGTGGAGAGGCCATGCGATTACACGTCGAGGCCATGCCTTGCGGAGAGTTCTTGACAGCGGAGCTCAAATCAGTCTTGTCGAGGTTGCGGGGCGGCAGAGCAAGTGGGCCTGACAACGTGCCGCCCGATTTCTGGGCTGTGCTTGGCAGGAGTGCGGGCGCCCTCGACATATTGCTGCGTTTGTGCAACCAGTGCTGGCATTCGAAGTCAATTCCACAGGACTGGTCGCACTTCACAGTCACCACGCTTTTCAAGAAAGGTGACCCTGCGGTGCCTTCAAACTACCGTCCAATATCTCTACTGGCAGTTGGATACGAGGTGCTTGCGGGCCTCATCCTGCAGCGATTGCGATCTGGAGGGGTGGAGGGCCGGCTCCGGGACAACCAGTTCGGCTTCCGACGTGGTCGCGGCACCGATTTGGCCATTCTCACCGTGCAGCGGATGCTGGACGCCGCCCAGGATCTCAAGCATGGAGAACTGACAGTGTTGCTCCTAGATTGGTCCAAGGCTTTCGATCGCATCGACCCCGGCGCCATGCAAGTGGCGCTGCGCAGATTTGGCTTACTTGAGGAATACGTGGACATGGTCGCATCCATCTACCCGCGCAGAACCTTCACCGTGCGCGACTCTGGCAAGGAATCTGGTGCCAGAGAGCAGTCCGCTGGCATTGCCCAGGGCTGTCCGCTCTCACCATACCTGTTTATCATTGTTTTGTCTGTCATCATGGAGGACGTGAATTGGGAGCACGCGGGCAGCCAGACAGATGACGTCAAGTACGCGGACGATACAGCATTGATTTGCAAGTCGCCCGCTTGTTTGCAGCGCGCCCTCGACAGCCTGCTCTCGCGGGCCGCCCCGTGTGGATTATTGCCTAATTGGGACAAGACCGTGGTGCTGCAAGTTGGAGATCCGCCGCCCATTTACGATCCGAACGGCCAGCCCATCCCAAAGACAGAGCAGCACATCTATCTGGGCGGTCTGCTCACCACCAGCGGCAGAGCCAGGTGCGCCGTGGCGCGCAGGGTGGGCGAGGCGCGCAACTCCTTTTCGCTTCTGACGAAGGTATGGAGCCATTCATCGTTGAGTCGGGCAAGGAAGCAACGCATGTACGAAGCGTGTGTCGTCGCCAAATTGCTCTACAGTTTGGAGTCGGAGCGATTGAATAAGGCAGAGTTTTCTCGCATCAATTCGTTGCATGTGCGATGCCTGCGGAAGATATGGGGCATCCCGCATCCGATGATATCCCGGGTGTCCAACCAGGAAGTTCTGAAGACAGCGTCGTCGAGCCCGCTGGCAGATCAGCGAGACGCCAAACAGATGTGTTTGTGTGGGCGGGTGGCCATGATGCCCGACGCATCTATCGCACGACGCTCCGCATTTCAACCTTCATCCGCGATGTTGGCACGCCCAGGGGGCGCTCGAAAACGAGGGCGCCCAAGGGTGTCGTGGGGCCAGAGAGTCAGGGCGCACGCGCTGGGCGCCGCGCAGCAGGGCGAGGACCGGCTAGCTGCAAAGCTGTCGAATGGTAACGGCTCTTTCCAGAACAGGAGGGCCACTGTGCGGCAGCATTGCCGTTCTCTTTCATAGGGGCTTGCCTGCTTACTGTTGCCCCGCTCTGGTCCTCTCCCCTCTCTTCGCCCCTCCCCCTCCTCCCCCGCCCCCCCGCCTCCCGCGTGAGCTAAGCAGGCGAGTCGCTATGATGCTGCTTCTCTGTTTCACACGCCATATGCACTGCAGCCGATGTGCCGTCGTGGCACGGCTTCTTCGTTCGTGCCCGACTCTCCCCCATGGGCACTCGCCTGACAGTCCTGCAGGCTGACGACCCCAGGGCCGGCTGGCTCCTCCCAAGTCGGGGGTGGTTCCCTTGCCCCCGCACCGCGCGCCGACCCATTGCCTGGTGGGCCATGAGGTACTGTGCGACCTGTAACGCTCACACCATCTCCCTAACTGCTGCCTGTGACTTCTCGCAGGGTGGCGAGATTACGGTGGGCCGCGCGCCCTTCCCCTCATCGGGCGCCGCCTGCTGGCCGTGTGAAGTCACTTTCGACGGAGGGGCGCGATCGATCGACGGCGAGCACAGGGTCGCTGGTGCCGGCGCCTTCCTTTGGCACCATGACCCCCAACACGCTTGCCCCCGCTTGGTGGCCGTCGCAGTCGTTGCCCCCCTGGGCCGCGACGATGCCCAGACCCCCGAGGCGGCTGGCTGCAGGGCGGGACTCGCCCTGCCCCCCCGCGCGCCCGGGCCTGTCCGCGCTGCCCGGGTGGTTGGTGATGACCTTGCAGCCGTCCGGTACGGCGCCAGCACAGGCCGATGCCAGAGGCTCCACCTGAGCCAACATATGGACATGGCACTGCACCAAACCAACGACGCCTGCTAGACACTCACCTGGCAGGCTGTGCGCAGGCGGCTCAACAAGGCAGCTGACCGCGCTTGGTGTCTACTGGGCCGCGACCCTCAGGGGGCAAGAGGACACCTGCCTTACCTGCCACGCGGTCTGGCTCAACCTCCCGTCCTCTCCCCCCCCTCTTTCCCATCTCTGCCGACTTCTCCGATGCCGAAACCACCGCCCAGCCCGTGGCGAGCCTGGAAGGTTCATCCATGCCCTAACCCTGTCCCCGATCGGCTCGAGCTGCTAAGGCGCCCGCCCTCTGGCGTTCGCTGCCCCCCCACATCGTGGGCAGGGCCATCGTGGGCCGCTCGCCCGTTGGCCGTGCTGCTACAACTGCGAGCCCTGGCCCCCCTTGGCGCCGGGCTCCGCCAACGTCCGCCTCTTCCAGGCCGCCTCTGGCCGTGTCTGCGGTGGGTCCACTTCAACAGCCATTGGCGCTTCTACTGCAAACCTTGCTTCGAAGGAGGTCTACAACAAGCCTAGGAGCACTTCGTCTCCGCGCAGCACATCTTCCATCTCAACCGCCATTGGGATGAGGGGTGGCCGACCCCAGGGCCTACACATGTGGAGGCAACCTCCTGACCATTTTAATGGGTGGGGCCCTCCACCGCCAACGGAACCAGCGCGTGGGGCGCCTGCGCTGGCCCGGGTGGAAGCTAACGGAGATCGAGACCGTCGATGGGAGCTGGCAGCTTCGCGCCATCCACTTTCCAGACGACTGGGCCCGCATCCCCGCGGGCTACCCGCTGCCCCGCATGCTCTGGGATTTCGCGCGCCCCGCCGACGCCGTCGCCAACCCCAGTTCCACCCGGGGCCCAGGCAGGAGACGCCCGCCGCTGAGGATGACGACCACGCGCTGCTGGAGGACGCCCACGCCCAGGCCGACGAGATCAGTCGCGTCCGCTGCCTGCTGGCGACCCCCGCGCAGCAGCCGCTCTCCGCGCTCCCTGCCCTCCAGCCAGTCGGGGCTCCCCCCCCTGCCGTCGCCTGCTCCGCTGTCGGCCCTGGTGACCCCCCTACTGGGGACATGGCGCCCGCCCGCCACCGCCCATCCCGCAGCCCCCGCCACTCGAGCGGTCCGTCTTCTCCCCGGGAGAGACCTGCCGCCGCCCCCCCCCCGCTTGCCGCGGCACGGGAGGCCCAACGGATGTACGAGCTCCCCGCTTCCGGTCCCACAGCTATTTCGTCAAAGTCCCCCATGGCCACATCCCAGGGGCCATCGACCTAATTGCCCGCGCCGAGTGGCCCTTCGCCCTCCGGGGCCGCTGCGACCACCCGTTGCGCCTCCAGTGGATCGGGGGCAGGGCGTCCTTCGAGCATTGCGACGACTACGCAGACCGCACCCCTGACGAACTCAAGCGGAAGCAGACAGTGGCCCTGGACGCGCCCATCACCGAGGTCGACCACGAGTTCAGCTTCCACGACCTCGACCGGTTCAAGGTCCAAGACAGGATGAGGCCCAAGGTGGGCCGCACGTACTATCGCCTCGACTGGCCTTCCGCTTATCGGATCCGAGCTCGCCGACATGGAAGTGATTTGGCCCGACCTGCCTGAGCTCGGCCAACCTCTCCCCTCCCCGCGAGAGCAGCCGGCTTCGTCTCCCCAAGACGACCAGATGCCCAACCAGCTCCCGTATCGTGCAGTACAACCGCGGGAAGCACGGGCCCTTCCACCCAGACCGAGTCCAGATCCCTCCACGTGGTCAGCCGACTGACGCCTTCTACCGGGCTGACAAGACCCCCTCCGACTTCCAGCATTGGAGGCTGCGCGCCGCCCTTGCCGAGATCTACATGCGCGGCCGCGACCCCCGCGACCTATTCGCCGGGGTCCTGGTCCCCGTCCTCACTTACATGCTGGGCTTCAGGAGCGCCGGCGTCGCCGACAAGCAGGCCGCCGACAAGGTGCGCTCTGGCCACTCCAACGGCATCACCCTCCGACGTCGGGCTGCCAGTGCCCTCGACGCGCCCATCGCCGACCCCGACGCGATCGACCTGGCCCTCCCCGACAGCGCAGGGCACCCCGCCTTCGATGCAGCCAGCGTCGAAGAGAACATCGGCCATGTCTTCCAGCGGACCATGTGCGTCCCCGTCAGCCAACGGCTCGACCGGGCTGCAGCTGCGCACGGCCTCGACGACCACTCCACGCTTTTGCTGCACTCCAGCACCGAGCACCACCTCACCGTTGTCCTAGGTCTGCCTGGCTCAGGGACGACAACGACCATAGTCGCTCTGGACGCGGCGTGGGCCCCCACTCTCTACGACGGGCAGGCCGTCGGGGTCTTCGCCGGCTCCGACAACGGCGGCCGACCGACCCCTCAAGGCCTTTTACGCGGCCAAGTACCACCGCAAACTCGACGACGCGGTCGGCTTCCTCCACGCCTTCGTACGGCTCGTCCGCACGGAGAGGGTTGACAAGGGAGTGGTCGACCTCACCCCTGAAGGGCATTACCGCGCAGCCTATGGCAACTACCCCCTCGAACGCGGGGGCGACGCCATGTTCCCCACCTACAAATGGAAGCTACTCCAGCAGAGTCGAGCCGTCTTCGCCACGCGCGAGGCCGCCGTCGAGCTGGGAGGCAAGTCATCACTCAGTCTACCGCTCGGAGATCGATCGGTGAGGCCGGCCAAACGAATTAGGGGGGCGCCGCCATGTCCCTGGTCCACGTCATCCGCAGTGGTGGGCACCTCGTCGTGGTGGGTGATCTCCAGCAGCTCCCCCCGCCGTCGTGCCCAAGGAGGCCGCGGGCATGGGCTTGGCCCTCTTGATTTTCCAACGCCTGTATGGTTCTCTCGGGGAGCAGGAAGGGGCGTGCATTGCCCTGTCGCTGTCCTACCGCATGCGCCCTGTCCTCGCGTCCTCCCCCTCCGCGGCGTTCTACAACAGGACCCTTCTCGGTGGGCGCCGCGCCCTCCTAGTGCACAGCAAATCGCGTGGGCCCACCTCCACCCTCGCCGAGGGGTACGCCGACATCCCCGAGGCCGCCCGTGCGATTGACCTGGCCCAGAGTATCCTCCCGGCTCTGGAGGGCGGGTTCACGGTCAACGTCTTCGTTCCCTACAGGCCACAGAGGGGGCTCCTCGAAGACGGATGGCCGCTCAGCCCAGCAGCCTTGCAGATTGTTATGCGCGAGGACAAGGCCCCCCGTTGTGCTGACCTCGACGCCCGCCCCCCGCTGGCCCCCCCGCTGGCCCCTCTTGCAGGCGCCCCCCCCTGGCGCCGCCGCGATGCCGCAGACCCAGCTCCCCGCCCCTCCCGCCCACGGCGGAGCCGCTCGCCAGCGCCCTCCGTGGCGGCCTCCGTGCAAACCTCCACCTGCGCCGACTCCGCCTTGGGATCTACGACCCCGACTGCGCCCCCGCACGCCGCGGAGGCAACCTGGTCTTCAAGGCGAGGCCCACCATTGGCAATGCCGCAGACGTCTTCTTCCCTGGGCTCCGCCAGATCGCCCGCAAACACCTTGTGTCAGGCCGCCTCGCCCTCTCTACAGTCGACGCACGCCATAGCGGCGAGGCCCGACTGGTGATTTTCCTCACCGCGCGGCGCAACTCCAACCATTCGCGGGGTTTCGTCGACAACCCCAACAGAGCGAACGTCGGGCTGTCGCGCGCCATGTGCGGGCTCATCATCCTCATCGGGAACGGGCGTATGATGGCCTCAATGAAGGACTCCAAACTGAGGCTCCTTTCTAAGTGCGGGCGCCTCGCCGGTCTTTGGATCCGCCTCTACCGCTGCCGCGACCTTGGCAACTGCCGCGCGCTGGTGCCAGACCGCTCCTTCGACCCCATCCGCGACCCCGGCTCTTGAGCTCCTGCGGGCCCGGACTTCCTGGCTGCCGCCGAGGCTGGCGAGGCTAGGGTCAAGATCGATCGGGCTGTCGCAAGGAAAAGGGAGCAGTGCGCCAGGAGCTTCAGCGCGCGCCATGCCCCCCCCCCCCGACAAAGACTTCTCCAGGTGCGCCCTTTGCCGCCAGCTGGACGTGGCCCTGTGGAGGAGCTCCTCTCCAGCCCCGCGCTGTCCGTGGTCCTATTCTTGGTTTCGGGACTCCACCCTCACAAGCTCAACTCCGAGAGTGTCCCCTCCGACCCCGCTCAGCTCGACCGGGGAGCGCGGGGCCACCTGGGGTACTTCTTCGACGTCAAGCTCGGCATGGGCGCAGGCAACCTGGCGTGCAATAGTGACGTGGGCCACCGTAGTCTGGGCGCTCGGCCTCGGCGCCCCCCGGGAGGCGCCGAAGCGCGCAATCCGGCCCGGCGAACTCCTCCCGCGGCTCCAGATCCAGGGGGGGCCCTCGCACCGCATGCGCATCAAGGGTAGGTGCACCCCTGCCGACCTCTCGTATCAGGTCCCCCAGGTTTGGCCACCAGGGGCCAGGACCTGCCCCCGCTAGCTTGTCTACCCCAACTTCTCTACCCCAACTTCGACACCCTGGTGTCCTTACTGCAGGGGCGCGACCTTCCCGCGTGCCACCGAGCCGCCCTGCTGGACCCCAACGGCTCGACCATGACGTCGGAGAAAGCCCGCTGTGCGCTCATGGTCTTGATGCTCATCAAGCGAGAGCCACGCTGGCTCGTGTGGCCCTTCCCTGACCCCTCCGCGTCAGGGGACATTCTGGAGGCCACCCTTGGCGTCTGCTGCCCCTGGCAGAGCGACCGCGCCCGCTTCCGGACCATATTCGCCGAGGCGCGGGGGCTCAACCTCGCCGACTTACGCCGCTTGCACGGACGCCTCGAGGCCCTCGTCGCACTTGTTGGGCGGCTGGTCCTGGTTGCCCACCGCCACCCAGACGCCCTGGCCGCCGGCTGCCCTGCCACCTACGTTCCTCGAGAAGCTAGTGAAGCCAGCTGCCCTGGACACCCTGGCAGCGGCACAGTGCTGCATTTGCGCCCCCCACCAGGGCCTCGTGGGCAGCGACAAAAGGCTAGGGTCCAAGGACGGCGCCGCTGACCTCGCCTTCCTTGGGGGCGGCTTCTGTTTCGCCATGGCCCCCCTGGCGCTCCCCCCCGCGCCGCTCCCAGGCGTGGCCCGCGTCCCCAGTTACCTGGCTCCCGGGGGCGCCCGGTTCAGCCCCGACCAGGAGACGGCGCGGTTTCGGCGTGACCTGCGCTTTAATGTCGGGCGCGAGTTTGCGGCGGGCACCTGATGGAACGATGCCGCGCGCGCCTACCTGGCACAGAACCGCCACCAGGCTCGCGCCAACGGGGCGGACTGCGCGTGGCTGCGCGGCCCCTGCTGGGCCACAGGTGGGAGAATAGGCTCCTTATTCCCCGCGGGAACACTCTCCGCGAGCAGGTCCAAGCCCTCCAGCTTTCTGGGAGCCCAGCCGGGGCCCGCCCCGCCGACGAGCTACCTCCCCTCGGACGCACCCCCGTGGGTCTTGCCCTGCCAGCACCGACCCCGCCGCGCGAGCTAGGAGACTACCTGCTCGAGCCCGCGGGCCTACGCGAACCCGAGGTCGCCAATGCCACTAGTTCCCCCGCCCGGCTGGGCGACGACAGATTCGGCATCTCTGTCAAGGGCACGGGGCGGCACGCAGCGAAGTGCGACGGCTGCCCTCCCGAGGCCCCGCCTCGTTTCTGGAGCGCTGGCTCCCCCGCGCCGGGCTGCTTCATCTCGGAGGCCGACCTCGGGGCGCGCGACGTCACCTTTGGCGGCCCCCCCCCCTGGGAGGAGCGCGCTGTGGCTTGGTTCTCCCGTCGTTGGAACGCTCTACGCATTGGGCGCTCGCCCCGGCGCGATCGGCGCCCTGCTAGTTAGACCGCGACGCCAACCGGGTCCACCACAGCCGCTCCACGACGAAACCCCGCCCGGCCCCCGCCGTGCCGCCCGAGCCCTCCTTGGCGCGCGAGCCGGATCCCAACCGCGCCCCTGCGTTCAAGCTGGACGCGTGTAGCAAGGGCGGCGCCGCCCCCAACCTCCTCCAGCTCGACCTGTGCGGACGCCCCCCGCCCCTCCACTCCGCGCCAGACATCCGCCAACTCCTCCCTGAAGCCGCCCTGCCCGCCGGCCCAGCGCTGGCGCGCCGCGACATGGATCACCTACAGGCGGCCGCAGGGACAAAGCAGAAGCGCAGGGTGCCTAGGCCCATCGAGGCAGCGCTGGTCGAATATGCACGGGACCTCAGCCCAGCCTTGGACGACCTCTGGAAGGAGTTTGCGAGAGCCCTTGAGGGCCCCAAACATTGATTACCTAAATGAAATTAATGATTTCTGCGTTCCCCTTCTATACGATTCCGAGGCTTGCGCAGGGCCTCCAAGGGAGTCCCTGGACGCAAGAAGCGACCAACATGGTATTTCATGAGTTAGCCTGTCAAGCCTAGCTAGAACTTGAGCGCGCGCGAAGCGCGCGCGATGGTTCTAGTATATATATATATATACACACATGTCATGCGAGCACCACACACACCGGATGCACGCATCAGTTTCAGCAATGTCTTTGGACCTTAATTTGTTTATTCCTCCTCCTGGTTTCCTTTCAGTAAATCCACATACGAAATTTAGTTGTAAACCCTCCACAGCAAGGAATCCTATTGAAGTCCCCCCCGAAAGGTATCCAATTCAAATTCCCCACAGGCGGAATCCTATTCAAATTCTCGACAATGGGAGTCCAATTGAAATCTTTTACAACAGGGGTCCGGTTAAAATCTTGCGCACACAGAGTGCCAAACGGGTCGGGATACCACAGAAGGCTGGACAATGGTACGAGCATGCTGCAGACATCCTCTGGCGGACTTCAGTAGTGCCACCCTGGCCATAGCTCGACGACACCGCTCGACCTCACACTGACCTCTGACCTGCGAGTCACGGCGTGGCAAAGGATGAAGAAACTCCACCCAATATTATACCGTGAACGTTTTCCCCCACCGCCCGCCCCTCCAGAAGGGACACATGGGGTTGTGTTGCGCCTCCACGACAGATTGGTCTACCCAGGTTTTCAAACTTGTTCTTTTGTTGCACAACCGCCTGCGAAACAAAATCAAATCTGGTCCGTCCTGCCTGGACGGTCTTTGCCCCCTCCCTCGCTGCCGCCTTGGGTCCGCCCCTTTCCCCCCTCCCTGCCTTCCTCCTCCCCCCCCCCTTCCCCTCCCTCCCTCCTCCCTCCCTCCTTCCCCCGTCCCTCCCCCCTCTCCCCCCGCCCAGGGGGGGGAGAGGATGTTTCACAGGTGACCGTTGGATGATTATGGCCAGAAGCTCTGGCCGCAGGTTGTTAGCACACATCGATATCCCAACCGCAGGAATGACGACAGGCTACAGGAGGCTTCGCCTCCCGGCGGCCCGTGTTCAGAACCAGGCTTGGAGCTTCTCCTCGGATTGGGCTTGTGGTAGTCGAGCGGTGGGCAACATATCATTATCTATATCAGCGTGTGTATATCTACGTACATGTGTATAGGTATATGTATATATATGTATATATATATATAGCAATAGCTTCACGTACATATATATATATATATATATAGATATATGGTCGCCCCCTTGTGATCATACCGATTTGTCTCTCGCGCGGCCGCCGCTCGATATCTTCGCTCTTCGTTTCCTTTTCCTGTCCCTCCCTGCCTCCTCCTGCTCCTCCTCATCGGAATCTTCCAAATCGCCCAACCAAAGAAAACCTTCAGAAAGCCAAACCAACCCAAAACATCAAAAATCAACAAACCAAATAAAAAGCAACCTATGCTTTCGGGAGAACTTCTGGAGAGGTGGTCTGCCAAGGTTTCCCCGAAGTCATGTTTTTTTTTTTTTGGGGTGGGGGGGGGGGTCTAAAGGTTTTCTTTGGTTTCTGCGATTTCGAATGGTTTTCGCTGGAGTTCGTCTTCCTCTTCCTCCTCCACGTCCTCCTCCTCCACCTCCTCCTCCTCTTCCTCCACCTTCTCCACCTCCTCCACCTCCTCCACCTCCTCCTCCTCCTCGGCCTCCTCCTCCCCCTCCTCCTCGGCCTCCTCCTCCCCCTCTCTCCCTCCTCCGTCATGCCACCATCCGTCACCATGGGGGGTAGATGCCGCGATTCCATCGATTGCAAGCCAGTCTGTCGCAATCGTTGCGTTGTCATGTTTCCACGCGGAGCGCACGCATGGAGGTCTACAAAAGATGGTGGTTCATAGGTGAACGCGCGCATCGCGCCGACCGCCATCGGCTACGACCGCGTCGCGCCTCATGCGTGCTCGCACGGCGCGGCCGCCTCTTCAGTCGGCCTCGCTGTGGCGCGCCGTCGCCGACCCAGAGGGCGGCTCGGCCTCGTCAAGCATGCGCTGGAGCTCTGCCGACAGACCGTCGTCCTCCTCGAGGGCGATCGTTTCAGTGTGGGCCGAGGCGGCAATGGAAGCGAAGATCGCCTTCTGCTCCTCGGCGTCCACGAGTGACAACGGACCCCCGCAGCCCATCATGAGCCCCTTCGCCCTCTTCACTGGCGGCGGCGAGGACAAGTCCTCGAACGCGCCGTGATGCGCCTTGGCGAGGCTCTTGAAAATCGCGAGCTGCTCATCCTGGTCCTCTTTGGTGAGTTCGCCGCAACGCCCAACGATGTCGGGCTGCGCGGAGCTGGCAGCACGCGAGCTCTCTTCTGGCGGCTCGTCCATTCCGCCGCCGAAGCCGAACGCGTCCTCCTCATGGGACAAGTCGGCCGGCGGCTGGGAAAACGCAGAAGCGGCCGCGGCGGCTGGCGGAGCGCTGGCCGCGCCTGAATCGAACCCCGAAATGTTGCCGACAGCCGAGACAGTACGTTCAGGGCCATCGCCGAACATTGGAGCAATGTGGACAGTCGCAACCGTGGGCACGCCAAGGCCAGCGACCACATTGCCCATGTATCCAATAGACCAAGTCATCTTGTCGGCGTAGTCTGAGGGGACCGGGCGGATTGCTGGTGACGTGGTGTCCCGCACCTCGCTGACGACGAGGTCGGGGCACCTGGGCTTGGGCCACGGTGTGAATTCTACTCCGTCCTCCAGGTTGGCGGATGCCACGCGCCAATGTACCCCGAGGTCCGTCACAACGATGACGTGCGCCCTGGCGAGGATAGCGTTGAAGTCCTCCTCTGTCCTGGCCTCCTCCAGAGACGGATGGGTGATGCGCTTGAGCAGGCCCAGGTCGTACTTGTTTTCGCGTCGCGGCGTCCAGCGCTGCCATTTCCGCGTCGCGGTCGTAGGGGTTCGCGACGGCCTGTCTGCGCGACCCTTGCTCAAAGCGCAGCCGCCCCACCGAACCCAAAGCAGAGCGTCCTCCTCCTTGGGTTTCAAGATTGCCTTGAGCAGGTCAGGGGATACTTTCAGGCGGCCAAGCGTTCGACCGACCATCAACACCACCGCGACTTCCCCTTGGGAGGGTGCTGCGGTGGAAGGAACCGCAATCTCCCTTGAAGCCGCGGGCTGCAATGGCGAGGGCCGCGCGAGGCCACCGAACCTTCTGAAGGAGGCCGTCGTCGAAAATGCCAGGGAGGACCTCCGTCGTTGGTTCGCCCTTGAAGAAGCCCGTCTACTTCACCGTGAGGAAAGCGATCTCATCGGCGGAGCCCTTCTTCTGTATGCTGCACGCCGAATGAATCCCAGCCTGCGTCTTCGAACCGTTGCTCTTGTCCACCCTGGAGTTCCCGACCCACAGCGCCCCGTGCATGTGGGGCGTGCCAATCATCAGGCGGAGGATGCCGTCTCAGTGTCAAACTCCAGCGCGAGATGGGTTTGGCATTCGTCCTGCCCTTCTGGTGGTTGCGCAACGCAGGCTCCACCTTGGACGCAGGCCATCCGAATATCTTCGGCCCCTCCTCGTTGACCTCTGTGTCGGCCCATTCTATGCATTGGTTTCTGTTATTGCTGCGGGGGGCCGTGTTCACGGATGAACGCGTATCCTTGTGCGCGCTCGTCCTCCTCGAGCGGCTGCTTCCGCTCGTTCTGCGGCTTGGTCGTGAAATACCTTGCGGTGGAGGCGCTGAATAAGGATACGTTCGGTGAGGAACCCAAGGCGTCGCGACCGACGAGTCGCCACAGATGGAGCGCTCAACTCGTTTTGAAGCGGGGGGTCGGGGGAATGCGCTTGGGCTGGCAGACAGGAGGGAGATCCTTATCCCATCGCGCCCGCCGTATTTGATAGCCCTCGAGCTTCTCCAGCATGAACCGGAACGCAGTCGCTCCCGTCCGAACGTTTTTGCCATAATCGATCCAGTGGGCCTCTGCAGTCCTCCTCCTCCCCCTCTTCCTCCTCATCGTCATCATCATCACACTCATCATTACTACTATCGTCATCGTCATCGCCATCATCCTCATTATCGTCGGTATCGCACTCGTCTTATATAGCCCTTCATCATCCTCACACAAATCATTTGTATAGCTCTTCCTTCTCATCCACCTCCTCCTCCTCCTCCTCAGCATCCCCTTACTGAGTGCAGAGAGGGAGTGGGATCCTGCGGGAGAGGCCACTAAGAAGCCGTCCACTGCCCCGCAGCCCTCATCAGGAGGAGGATGATGATGCGGACGTAGAGGAAGATGAGGCGGATGAGGGAGAGGAGGGGGGAGGATGAGGATGGGGAGGGAGAAGAGAAGGATGATGAGCGAGGAGGAGGGAGGTATGATCACATGGGGTGATCATATATATATATATATATATGTGTGTTTATATACATTCATATATATATGTATATATAGGTATATATGTACACACACAGCCGTATATATTCCAGCCCATGTATATGTGTATGTATTTGTATGTGCACACGCATGTGGATGCGTGGCTCTACTGTTCTATATAATTCTATACATGTGTATACATTCGCCATCGTTAACTCGTTGTGTATATGTATGTTTATGTCCATACACTCACATACACAAACATATGTATGGATATACGTACACACCTGTTTATGTGTATATTTATATGTATACACACACTTATCTATATGCACACATACAAACATGCATACATCCATACATACATTTTTGCATATATACACATTTACACACACATATATATAATTCATCCACACATCCACACACGCACACCTAGATATATATGTATATGTATATGTATGTGTATACATACATGTATGTATGTATGTATGCGTGCATGTGTGTATGTATGTGTGTGTATATATGTATATGTATGTATGTATCTTTTGTATGTATGTATGTATGTATGCATGCATGCATGCATGCATGCATGTATGTATGTATGTATATATGTATGTATGCATGTACGTATGTTTGTGCATATACATATATATATATATATATATATATATATATATATATAGCCTTCGGATCATCCCGCCTTGGTGCCTGGGCTGTGTGTCAGAGGCCTCTTGGGTGTTCGTTCGTACCTCGTGGGAAGCCTCTCGGGAACCTCGTCGAAGGCAGCTGTGTAGCGTTTTGGGCCTTTTTTGGCCTCTTTCAGGCCTCTTGGGGGCGTTCTGGGCCCTCTGGGGGGGCCTCTTGGGAACCTCGAGGCGCCTCGTCAGGGCCTGTTTGGGCCTCTTGGGGGCCTGGGGTTGCGGAAGGCTGGAATTGCGGATTCGTGCTCCCCTTCCTGGGGCCCGTTTGGGCCGCTCTGGAGCCTCTCTTGGGCCGTCTTGGGGGGCCTGGTGCCCTCTCGAGTCATCTTGGGGCTCCCGAGAGGTCTCTGATGGCGTCTTTGGGCTTTCTTGGTCCTCTCTTGGGCCGATTCGGGGCGGTTCTTGGCGCCTCTTGAGCCTTTTAGGAGCCTTGGAAGCCCGAAGCGGTAAGACCGCCCAAATGCTTCAACAATGGAAGGAACATATACAATTTTGGCTTTTTGGGGTGCTCGTCGGTATCCTCTGGGAGCCTTCTTGGGCTGTCTTGGGGGCCTTTTAGTCCGTTTGGAAAGCTTCTTGGGCCGTCTCAGACCCCTGGAGGCCGTCTTCGGGGTGGTTCGGGGCCGTCTTGGGCCGCCAGGGCGGCTGTCTGATCGCTCTGAGGGCCGATTTGCAGCCCCCCAACAGCGGGCCCGGTCCCGAGGCGCTCCGAAAAGGGTCGCCCCCCCCCCCCCCCGCCAGGACTAAAAGGGGACTAGGGGGGAAGAGTTTTGAATGAGTGTGCCGCCCCCAGGGCAGGGGGCCCGGTTCCCCGTCACATGAAATACACATACCCAGCTCACAAAGCTCAGACACATTCAAATTAATAGTGTCATTTTCGTGCGAAGCCAGCATGGAGCAAGTATAGCAGTGCTTTCAATGTCGTCTTCCTACCGCGCTCACGCGGGCCATTGTTGCTTTTGGGCACGTCGCAGCCGCGACCAGGGCCGCGGGTTTTGTGCAAATCGATGCCGTCGCGCTATTTCAGCGCAGATGGTGCCAGCGCCCAGAGGGATGATGCGACGAAGCGCGGCCGTGGCGGCCTGGGGACCAACACACACAAGCTTCCCTCTCTCGTCTCATTGTTATCTTTCTTCCTCGCTCTCGATCTGGGCCTGTTTCGATTTCTCGTCCTCGTCCTCATGCTCGCCCTCGCTTGCACCTGCTCGTGCACTTGCTCCTGCTCCTGCCGCCGCCACTGCTGCTGCTGCTGCTCCTCCATCCTGACTTCAAGAATCGCATTGTGACGTCAGCCTCGGCGAACCGAGATCATGTGTTCGCGAGGAAATCCTCCCTCCTCGCTGCTCCCTCCTCCCATCTCCGCTTAACACGGGGGACGCTCCTGGTGGGGAATGGCGCCTGTTCCCTCTGCCCAGCGCGTTTCGCTGTGTTGCCTCTTCCTGTGCAGGAGTGAAAGCATTTACACCCTCGTCTGCGCTGGCCCACGGCGCGGCGAGCGCCTGGCTGTGCCCCGCTGGCGCCATGACTCGCTGAGGGCGAGATCTTGACCAGGGGGGCGAATCTGCGAGTTGGGCGATTCCGCTTGTGCGATGGATCCGCGGCGAATGGAATGCGCCATGTTGGGAAAGATGTTGGGGCGGTGGGCCCGCAGAGGCGAAACCACAACTGATTTTCTCCTGTAGTGTGCATGTTGTGCGCTGCCCCGTTCGCCCGCGCTGCCGCGGCAAACGCGCTCTCGGTCGGTCGGCAAAACGCAGCTGATCTACCAGACGACGACAATCAAACGCATGCCTGTTGTTTCGAGGCTTGGTAGTCGTCTTGCGGCAAGTGGCGGCGGGGCGTTGCATCCGTCGCGTTCAATGGGCGTTGCGACGAAGAATGTCGCCCGAAGGCGCGGGTTCCGGCGACGAAACACGGAGCGTCGATGTTTCCGCCGTCTTTGTGGGCCGCCCAACGAAAATCACAGCGCCGCCGCCGTGAGCGCATCGAAACCTTGGACGGCTTGCTTTTTGGGCTGGGTAAGCGGTTCTGGTGCGAGCGCGGACCAATTTTTCTCCGTCAGGCATTCGCGGCGATTTTGCGGGCTGCAGAGGTGGTTGCCGCCGCGAGCTGTTTTGCGCCGTGCCTACTGCCTGGCTTTCCGCTACGTGCGCGTCTCGTGTTCTGCGTCTTGCCAGGGCGTATATGCCTACCGCGTGGCATCAGACTGTGTTGCGTGATTCTCTGTCCGCGCTTCTCTTTTGACTTCGCACTGGAAGAACTGTGCCCTCTCTCTTCGGAAACACCGCTTGCCGCGCCACCCGCGACGTACCGGGTGCAACGCTGGCCCGACGAAGAACCTGGCAAAAACAATGTTTCGCCGTACGTGGCGTATCCGACACTGACCAGTCCATACGTTTTCGTTGATGAAACTTGTTTTGTTCAATTGGCTTCAAAATTGCGTCTGCCAGAGTCTTGCTTTTGGTCAGGTCCTTCTGTGGTGGTCGCTAGTGCCGACAAAGGTCCATTGGGTTGCCTGTGGTTCGATTCGACCATTATCCCAGACTTTTTCGACATCGCGATTTCGGAGCCTCTTGCTGCATGGGGCGTGTTGACCAACGTGACCGGGTGGGCGGGTGGGTGGGCGGCGGGCGGAGCGTCGGGCGCAGCTCAAGCAATCCAAACCCATCCAGCAGTGGTCCAGTTCGAAGATGATCGCAGGCGGCTGGACGACTGGTCACACCATACACGTGTTCGGGCAGCTGCCTGGTCGGCTGTGACCAGCCCGACTCTATTTCTCACTATCTCTCCTTCCCCGCCTTCCGCTGTAGATTTCGCATCTTGTCGACACCGATCCGGTATCTCGGTGTCGGTGCCGACAGCGATTACCAAACCGAAGTTATCCGAAGCGATCGTGCGATTGCGATCAGTCTTGGAGTGCTGACAATCCTCACGTATCACTCGGCGAAGGCTGCGGTGACCCATGGGGGCTAGCCTTCAGAGGCCCAACGGAGGGCAGCCGCTGCCACATCCGTGCACGCCAGTGGTAATTTGCTTGGCCTTGTCGGAGACCCCTTTGTTATGGTAGATTGTCTTCACGCTCCGCCTCCCCTTCTCCTCACGATCGTCATCTTTCTGCATCGCTGTGGCGAAAGTTTCGTTCAATCTGCCTCCGCCAATAACGCATCAGCGCGGAGTAGTTCGGAGTACGACTACTTCAACTACTCCGCGCGCGGGCGCATCCCACTTGGTAACTTACAGGGTCTTGAGCGGAGTAGTTTCCAATCCGGTTTAGGGGTAACAGAGTTATAAGCATCAAGCGTTTCGGAAACTATTCTGCCGAATGACGCAGTCATCATGTCATGTTCTGAATATTTGAAGGGATCGGAGATATCATCATCATGGCACATTGAACAAGCTTTTGTCCGGGCTGTGTATATCTTCCTCCATGCCGTCTTCCTCTTTTCTCCTTCCTCCCTCGTTCGCATTCTCATCCTCGTCCGTTCTATCTTCCATGCCGTCTTTGTGATCCTCCTCCCCTCCTCCGTGTCCTCTCATTCTTCCACTCTCCTCTCCCCCATCCCCCCTCCGCCTTCCCATTTCCTTTCCTCTTCCCCTCCTCCCTCCATGTAGAGGTGGGCGCGGCAGCGGCCAGGGCGAGCACGGCAAGAAACGCAGGGACCAGGCAACCACGGAGTTGAGTACCGAGGCGTCGACTGCAGAATTGGAGGCCATCGTCTTTGGCACGGATCCCAAGGCCGCTTCGGAGGAACGCAGGGTGCATGGGAGGGGGGGGAGGGCGGGGGAGGAAAGGCGGGTTGGGAGGAGGAGGAGGAGGAGGAGGAGGAGGAGGAGGAGGAGGAGCAAAAAGAGGATTATAATATTTTGGTTCATGTTGGAAGTGACAGCGAGCTGCATGGTAAAGCCAGCATAGAGAGACACTACGTCCTCGGTTCAATGAGTTTGTTCGTAGGTTTCCTGAGCTCTTTCGCGACTGCGGAACGGGTGGTGCACGTTGGGAAGTTGCCATTGCTGGAGGGGACCCATTTTGCAAGAACGCGGGGGTCCAACTGCGCCGACTCCTGCGCAATGACATGAAGCCCCCCTGTGCGCAGCGCTTCTGTACGGACAGGTTGTCCCGAGTTTTGGATAGTGCCATGGGCGTCTCAATCATCGTTCGCACACCCTGTGATTTAGAATCCATGAGTCGTTCGATGCGGAAACCACATTTGTGCATGTCTTGTCTATCGCTCTCCACCATGAGCGCCCGAGTATGGACGAGCGTGCTCTCCTTTTGTAACGTGATTGCGATTGGGTATACGCGGCCGGATACGAAAGGGTCTGCATGTGAGTGAGTCTGAGTACGATTGATTCAGCATAAATGTTGGTAATGATACGTCAGCCTGGATGTGAGAGGCCTGAATAGGGGTGGGTCTGGGTGTGCGTAGGCATGACTATCTGTAAACATTGTTATGCATGAGTCTGAGTATGGGTGGGCAAGTATGTGCGACAGTATTCGTGGGGCTGTTTATGAGTGGGTCTGAGCGTTATCGGATAGGACTTTGCGAGTGAGTATGAATATGGGCGAGGATGAGCTTGAGCAACTGCGCATTGATCAGTTTGAGCTTCTTGGAGTCTGAGTATGAGTGGCTAATTCTGAATTTGCCGGCCCAACGGGCCATGGCCGTGCTAGAATCATCGATTGGAGCTCCAGAGTATTTCTAGTGCGCGCGTGCAGGGTGTTCCCTGGGGGGTCCCCGGAGGAGAAGTACCCTGAGAAGGTCTGGGCCAGATGTTTTTTTTTTTTCGGCGTGGCCTCGGGGCTCCACTGCAACTCAAAGGTCAACCATGACACGTGGTATGAACATCACAAGGAATACCTTCCACGCGCTAAGTTGTGTGGAAGGGTTGCCGCACGCCAAGACGACCTCCGACGGTTTTACTTGCGAGAACAACCAGTGGGTACCTGGGTGGATGGAATGCCACCAAAGACGACATTGGCCAAACGCGGGGGCACTCGCAAAGTCAATTTGGACCAATGCACCGCAGGTCTTCGTGACTCCAATTGTGTATTAATGCGAAAACCTATTGGGAAAATGGCCAACCACCGCCGCTTGCTAACGCCCTTAGAGAGCAGACGGTGCACAGGCCATCATCAACATGCTTCGGTTTGCAACAGGCAACTGGCCAGGGCAGCCCAGTATACCCCGAAGATGCAATCCCTCTTCGTTGAAGCAGTTCAATTTGCACACGACATGTTCTCAGTAATTACTAATCCTCGCCATGGTCATCCTCATGCGTCATTTGACCTTGTTACGAACACACATGGATTCGAGTTTGATGATCCCACGATCCCTCGACATGCTGACGGATCCATCATGAGACCACCATCAGGAGGATGGGGGTGTCCAGCATGCGCGGATAACTTAAACGTGCATTCCCCAACGCACGACAGAGACCCTAAATTTTGTATTTGGCACGGCACATCGGATTACTACTGGGAATGGTCAATATGCAAGAAGAATTATGGTCAGGCTAAACCTGGTCACCTGCGAACGTCTGGCAAATGTGAATTTGCCTAGCCTTGGAAGCTGCCCGACAACCACGGACAGGGACTTCCGGCCCCTGCCGAACCGGCAGCCCTACCACCGGCGGCAGTTGCTTCCGACTCGCCGCCACCTGCGGCGGCAGCTGCTTCCGAGGCACCAGCCGCCAAACAAATTGCGAGGCTACGAGCTCCGAGGCCTGGTTCCAGAGTTAGACCAACAGCAGGCGCCAGCAACCACGACATTACAGTAGGCAGACATGCTGCTGAACCAGCTGCGGGGCAACCTGCTTCGAGCGGAGCAGGCAGCTCGGACGACCGCGCAGATGATTGCTTCAAATAGTAGTCAGGCAAGGGCGACAGCAAGGAGGATATCCACTTCAACCACCACCTGCTGGTAACCCTGCTGATCGGGCAAGGCTTTCAGACTGGTCAAGGTTCGATTTGCGAATTAGTCTGCAGAGATTGCGTGGCCTTGACCCAAGCGTGGTAACGCGCGAGCTACGACAACTACACTTGCGGTGTTTCCACGCCACAGAGCTTAATCTTCTATTCGTTTCAACCAGGGCTGGTCTGGACAGCGTTAGGCTACACTTGATAATAGGCGTTTGTGACGCACGCCGGGAGTGCAGGGCTTGGGAAAATGCTGGACGTGCCACCACGCCGTCTACTGCAGTACTTGGCAAATTCAATGACGAAGTCGAATAAGATCTGATGTTCTACAGCCAGGAACGCAACATATCTCATGCAATCGATCGTTGCATTCGATGCGTTGCTGGAATCGAGTTACCAGACAAAACTATGACCAGCATCTTAGACGCGCACCATTAGTGCACGATGCAATTCGGACTTGCCAAAGTATGTGCTCTGACGGGGAAAGTGCACTCAATGACGACACCGCAAAGGCTGCCCTTAAGGCAGAAGGTACTGAGCTGAGGATACGTGCGCGTGGACAACGCGCGACGACCATTGGAGCCAGAAGTGGTACGCTACGACACTTCACGCCATGGAGGCTGAACTCAACAGGTTAGACATGCCACTTGTGTTCGCCAGTCTACTGCATGAAGCCTTGTTTGCCACCCGTGTTTTTCCTTCTACAATGATGTATCTCCATGCGACGCATTGCTCGGAACAACCAGCGATGCTACCCGACTTGCCTGATCTGGATTGCGAGCAGCATGCGGAAACATCTGATCATGCGCGAGAGCAGACTATCAACCGGGTAAGGCATTGAGGCTATCAGTCAAGCCACTGCAGTAGCGAAGACGAACCGTGCACTACGGACCAAGACTACCATCACTAGTTCGCATTACTATGACTAAGGAGACCTGGTTGACTATCATCGTCCCACTACTACGAAAGACGACTGGGGTGGCTGGAATGGACCCTTCCCGATCGCGCGGGGCGATCCCGACAGGGCCAGGTCACCGTGGGGGTGGGGGGCCGCAATGTGCAGGTCCAGTGCGGCGACGCACGGCATTCCGCATACATTGAAGTTTGGATCGCTCGAGAGATGGGTTCGGGCAGCGCAGCGTTGCGGACTGTGTTAGCATTTATAGCCAGTCAACCTGCGGGGCGATCTGCTATGACATGTGGATGCCCCCCGACCGAAAAGGGAATGCTCCAGATGACGGGTGCGAGCCGACTATCTCCTACGGTTCACTTAGCTCGTCAGTACCTCATCAGGAACTTCTTTCGCATTGAAAACGTAGTTTCTGTCAGGTTGGCTGAGAGTATTCACGAGCTACCTCCGGTGACGTATGCTGACAGTTGTACCCTGGTGCACAATGACAACGACGTGAACCCAGGCTTCCATTGCTCCGAAGCCGAAGGCACCACCCTCACCATTCAAGACATAATCAGCACACTCAAGAATCACCCAGTGCCTGAAGTCCACCAAACTTCAGGCGGGCTCCGATAAGGACATGGCGAAGTTCGAAGATCTGGCCGGCGTGCCAATTCAAGGCAACGACGCCAGGGGGGGCCCAGAAATTGAACTACAACAGGAAGACGGACGGTTTCCCACCATTTATGTGGAATCAGCGGTGGACCTCGAGGCGCATGTGATGGAAGTGTGGTGCACAGAACAACAAGACGAAAAGGGGTCTATTGGAGGCCACTCCAATAGACGAGCTGTATCTTGTACCCACGCAGACGATCACCGACATTAGCGTGCTGGTCACAGTGGCTGAAGAACAGTGGGGGCACCTGCCTACGTGGGGTAACCCACAGGACATAGACGCAACTGAGACATATCATGTCCCATTTTGCTCCACGGACGAAAGTTGCGGATTGGATTCTGACGAGCACGGCCGTTGCGTAGAACTCTTCGCTACGGCCGACATGTCCAGGGTCGTCTTATCTGAACGACGGCGCATGATATTAGACTTCGACCGTGCGACCACTGTGCGAGTATATGTGACCGATGCAGCTAAACGAGCTGTAGTCGTCAAGGAGGACGACCTTCTCACGTGGGTTGATATCCAGGCGAATCCAGTCAAGGTATCGAAGGCCCTCTATGCCGAACTCGAGACCTTGTTCGGCATTGCGTGCATCAGCATGCAAGATCTGTCCAAAGCGCCAAACATCATGACTTCGAGAAACGTATATAACGTGAAGGTCACCAAGTCGAGACGGCCGAGATGGAGCGTGCCATCGGGCTGCGCTCGGTACTTCGGGGTTTCATGGACCTCGAAGCTTTTGATGTGGAGGCGTTCTCAGGAACGGCGCGGCGGTCAAGTCAGCGACTGCTCGCCAGCGCAGCAGCGTGCAGGAAGCAGTGGACTTGCTTCCCTCGACATCAGCATGGCTTTTCTGAAGGGGCCCACGTATTAGGAACTTGCTGAGGCAACCGGCGAAGAGGGGCGCGTGGCCTGCTTTGCATTGCCCTCTGGGTCAGAGTCTGCGCTCAGAACCCCCCAGGGTTCGAGCACTACCATGAGCCGAGACGCTGTTTACAACGCTTCAAACCAGGTGCTGGCACCACGAAAGCACCGAGAAACTGTTCTCTGAAACGCAGGAAAATCACAAGAGGTTTGGTCTTAAGCCCACGTCCTACGACGAGAAGTTCGAGACAAGTTCTAACCTTCATACAGCCGAGCATTATGAATACATAGACATGGCCCGGTACTGAGGACACATCGTCAAGTGCGTCAAGTGCGTTGGGGATACTTGTGGTGAACGTGTACGAAATAAACACATGTACCAAGTGT